TGTGGAGGTGTTGGAATGTACATTAATAATTGTTTGAAATATAAGGTTCTGGAGAGAACATCTAAAGACGCTTTTCAGGCTTTATGGATCGAAATTGAATCCCTAAAGAGTAAAAATATCGTTTGTGGAGTGATTTATAGGCAGCATAATGATCCGGAACAATTCCTCCATTATGTTGACTTTACTTTAGAAAAACTTAGCTCCTCTGATAAAGTTGTTTATCTTATGGGCGATTTCAATATTGATCTCCTCAAATCTGAAATTTCCGATTACTCCCAAAATTTTTTGTTATCTTTACAATGTTATTCGTTCTTCCCGGTAATTGATAAACCAACTAGAGTCTACAATAATTCTGCCACACTCATTGATAATATATTTCTGAATAGATTTGATCATAAAATTTCAGGTGGAAATATCGTGTCAGACATTAGTGATCACTACTCCCAATTTTGTTTTATCCACAGTCTTATACCAAAAAATTTTACTGCTAAACATAAAATTCGCGATTATTCCAACTTCTCTGAAGAATGCTTTATTAATGATGTCTTGGATACTGATTGGGATAACTCAATGACATATGGATCTGTAGACAAATGCTTTTCTTCCTTTTACAATAAATTTAACAAGCTCATTAATAAACACGCTCCTCTCAAAATCTTATCTAGGCGCAAGGCTAAACAATTTTCCAAACCGTGGATAACTAAGGGCCTACGTAAATCTATCAAAATAAAGAATAGACTCTTTTATTCAGGAGATATCTCAAAATATAAGCTGTATAGGAATAGAATTGTTACTCTTTCTCGTCTCAGTAAAAGATTGTATTATGAAGCTTACTTCACTACAAATCTAAGAAATGTTAAAAAACGTGGAGGGGATTAATGAACTATTGAACAGACAGCGTAACAGAAAAACAGTATCAGCCCTTCAACGCTCTAACAACTCTGGAGTAACACAAAATCCGTCTGAAATAACCAATATCTTTAATCAGTACTTTGCGTCTATTGGACCGCGGCTTGCACGCAATATATCACCTTCCAGGATAAATTTCCAGGACTACCTTGTCGGCACTAAGCACTTTAAGTCTTTTTTTTTGATCCCGTCGTTCCATCCGAGGTGGACTTGGAAATCTTGGCTATACCCAGTAATAAAGTATATGGCCTATATTCTTGCCCGGTTCATCTTTTTAAAATCTGGGCGCCATATCCTTTCTCCACTCTTAGCTGCCATGATGAATAAGTCTATCTCAACGGGTATTTATCCCCATCTTTTGAAGCATGCCAAAGTAATTCCTATCTACAAATCGGGAGACGAAACTGATCCATGTAATTACCGCCCAATTTCCCTCCTTTCTGTCTTCAATCGATTATTTGAGAAATTGATGGCTAAACGTCTTAAATCACATTGCGAAAAAAAACGGTATCTTTTTTACTTCTCAATATGGATTTAGAGACAAGTGTTCAACCCAACATGCAATTTTAGATATCTTAAGCAAAATTCAAACTAATATTGATGCAAAGTTATTCTCTTGTGGTATTTTTATTGACTAAAAAAAAGGCTTTTGATACGGTGGATCACTCAATCTTACTGCACAAATTATATCATTATGGAGTCAGAGGAATAATTAATAACTGGTTCTCTTCGTACTTGTTGAACAGGAACCATTCGACTCAAATTGGTTCAACCGTGTCGAATATAGAAGAGATAGTTTGTGGTGTCCCTCAAGGGTCTGTACTTGGCCCCCTTCTCTTTTTTGATTTATGTTAACGACATTTACCGTTGCTCCCAGATTTTTGAGTTTTACCTATTTGCTGACGATACTAACTTGTTTTATTCAAACAAAGATCTTAAGGATCTTGAAAAAGTTGTTAATGATGAACTCGCAAAAGTGGGTGACTGGTTGGACGCAAACAAACTTTCTCTTAACACTAGTAAATCTAACTTTGTTATTTTCCATCCTTACCAACGCAAATTGGACTACATAGTTCACTTGAAAATTTATAATAACGATCTTAAAAAAGTGTATCTCTAGAACAAAAACTTTTGTGAAATATCTAGGAATTCTGATAGATAATAACCTCTCTTGGAAGTATCATATTGATTATATCTCATCTAAAGTTAGTAAAGGAATTGGTATAATTGCCAGGTTAAGACATCTTGTCCCATTTGCCACACTTCTTAACATCTACCGCTCCTTAATTGAACCCTATATCTCTTATGGTCTTATTGCCTGGGGACAAGCTGCTAACACTCATTTAAATAAGGTTCTCATTTTACAAAAACGTGCTCTACGACTAATGTATTTTGCGGATAGCAAATCTCATAGTGCCCCGCTATTTGTTAACTCCAGAATCTTACCAATAACTATGCTCTATTCTCATTTGGTTTCCTCTTTGATGCATGACATTGATAATCACCGTGCCCCGTCTAATATTTCTATGCTCTTTATCCACTCCGAGCAGGTTCATCACCATTTCACAAGATTCTCAGCAACGGCTAATCTGTACGTTAAAGCGTCTAGAACTAACCAACTTTTATTTTCTTTTTGCTAGAATAGGTGTAAGATTGTGGAATAGCATCCCAAAAGAACTTCGTATTAAAAACAGAACCCCGTTTAAGCGTGAACTTAAAAATCGCCTGTTAAAACTTTTGGAAATTGAGGAGATGAATGTTGATATACGCTGCTCTGAAATTTGTAAATATCTCTTGATAAAGTAACTCTTCGTTTAAGTCTTGTTTCAATTGTATTATATATCTTGATAACTTTGCAATTGATTATTTAATTATTCAACGGACTTAATTTTATTTTATTTTATTTAACAATTGTATTTTTATTAATGATTATCTTTGTTTAATTGTATCGGTATGTGATCCTTAGCAGAGACAGCACTTGTTTTAGAAGGGTGGCCCGCCTAGAATAGCTTGCTAATTGCGGGTCACCTAGGTCTGTGATAATATTGTATTGCTAACAAATAAAAAAATTGAAATTTTGTTAACACAAAAAAAAAAAAAAAAAAAAAAAAAAAAAAAAAAAAAAAAAAAAAAAAAAAAAAGAGCTATATCTAACTGCAGACAGTACTGTTTCGGCCTTCTGGGCCTCATCAGTGCAGTACTGATGCTAGGATGGAGGTAAGGCCATATATATATGTATGTATGTATGTATAAATGTGGTAAGAACATCAGTGACACACTCGGCTGCGCCTCGTGTGCCACTTTTTTGTTCTAACCACATTTTGACGTCATCTGTGATCTATTACTGAACAGATGCACGGCATTTTAGAATCTGTTTGTTAAATATATATATATATATATAAAGTGTAAAATTTTGACTTTCGTAAAACAGTGCTCAATACGTAGGAGTAGAGCGATGTATATATATGTATATTACTCATACACCGTTATGAAAGACGACTTTTCCCAAGTAAATATAAGCATAACTAAGTTGATGTACGTTCCATAATTTCTCTTACTGTTCCTATCGAGGACTAAGAAAAACCTCGATCAGAAATCTAATTCTAAGAGAAGCAACGAAGGTGTTTGCCATTACAAGTAATTTCTTTCGTTCTTGCTTTCCAACAGTTTATGTTTTGAATGAGATATTTTTTAGAAAAATAATATCTCTAAAAAATAGAGATAGGGAAAATATTGGGACCTAAGAGATCCATTAATATCACTGGTCACTTTACGTGCACCTCCGCCAATTAATTAAGCAATGTCATTTACTGCATAACTTGCACTAGTTCCAAAGAGTAGTACATTGGTGAAAAAGGAAGACGACTAGGTGACCTATTCCAAGAACACCTTCGCAACGTAGAAAGAAGTGACAGGGACACATTCAAACCAGTCGCGAGACACTTCAATCTCCCGAATCATTCTAAACAGCAAATGGCAATTTGCGGCCTTTCCCTACATCTATGCAGTACGGAAGGCCGCAAAACTCTGGAACAAAAATTTATCTCCCAAATCGGCACTCGTAATCCCCACGCTATCAACGAGCACTTTTCATTCAACTAATTTATTCTTCCCACCAATAGTGTAGCTCCACTTTCTGCATATAAACCCACACAAAACCCACATTTCCTCCAATCGCTCTGAAGAAGGGCTAACACTCGAAACGTCAGCCTTTCAACTCTTTACGGTGGCCAATTTACGTTTTTACCTCAGTTGATAACACTAAATTATCCTGTGATACTCTCCCACCGACACAGCACCACACTTCCTTTAGAAACTAATCCTCTTTATTCATTTATCTGATATATATTGCAGGGGCTGTGTGTCAACTGAAGACGTCATTAATTATGGGCAAGGTGCTACTTGATTCGGATTGGGCTGGTCAGCTTAAATCAGAATTGCAATTTATTTCACAACCAGTTACCAGGATTGTAAGTGACGATAAACATTAATCCGAGATGTTCTTAAGTTCCAAGAAGGCACGTCAACTTGGGCTATTACACGATTTGAAGTACGTGTATTGTTTTTATTAGGCCGGCTCTGAAAAGTTGATTTAATTACTTAATAGGATTAGTACCCAAATGCAAATGCAAGGAATTGGTCGTGTGAACCACCCAAACGCAAATGCAAATGCAAACGAAAGCTTCAACGCAAGGAATAAAAAATTCATTTTCTTTAGCTTGTATTTGCGTTCTGAACTGGCTTGCATTTCCAATGCGTTTGCGTTTGCATTTGCATCGCACGTGTGAACCAGTCTTCAGATCCTTCCATGGAATCACATACTTATTATAACAGAGTTGAATACGTTTTCAATCTGACAATCATGGCAATGTTTCTTTTATGTCAAGCCGTTCTTTTTTCATTTCCCGACGTGCTACCCATCCCTATAAAAAAATGTTAAATAAAATAAAAGGTCTGCGTTCTGAACTCTTTTGCAAACGAAAAAATGCCATACCGAGAGTTCCCGTGTTTATAAACAGACACGCCTGTTGTGAGTGCTCTCACTGGTCGATAAATGGTAGATATCACACGGTGCCAAGAAGATGACACTGACGAAAAACATCAGATACTTTTATTTTCAGCCTCTTCTCACTACGAACTTTTGAAGGGTTTTCAGCAAGGACAGATGAAAAATTGACCTTTGTTTAGTCGCAACTTTCCTGAAGTTCCCTTAAAATTTTGGTTTTCTCCTTTTATTGTTTTTTAGGAAATACATTTACATCTTTGTCGCTTCCCAAAACGAATCTTGCCGCTAACTAATATTCGAAACAACAAACAAGCCAAGTTTATTTCGCAAAGTTTAAACAGGATCGGAAAGAGTCGTCGTTGCTCAATATCACCGCAACACGAGCTACATACTAAAAAATTCACCGCTCCGTTCATGGATGAGTGTGCATGTACGTGAGTGTTTAAGTTTCCCGGGAACTTAAACACTCCCGTCCATATGATAACTGTATTTATTCAAGAGGTTGTAAATTCGAGTCAAGCTGTTATGCAAATGATCACAACTTCAGGCCTATAAAAAGTTGATTTAATTTGTTTTATTGAAAGGTAAAACTATACTGTATTGATTATCTGTTCGTATATCACAAGAGTATTTTTTTTTACACATGTTAAGATTTTAATGGAAACCCCAAATTAAATGGAAATGTATGTTGCTCGACTAATAAGTTAAAGTTATTTATAAACAAACTTCATCAACACTTTTCCTACCATTAATCTACGCTCTCCTAAGGGTACGAAGTGGCAGGTTTACTGGGGCGTTAGAAAGGTCTGGGACCCTGTAAACTAGCTGTAATAAACCTTCTCTGAGTCCTGGCATCCGAAGAGTATAAATTATAGGATTTACAAGTGAGTTAGCTAAAAATAGAGCTACCACAGCGATATAAATATGAAAATTTATCAAATAAGTGGAGGAGTGGCGAGGCCATGCTGCGTATATCATCGCTGGTAAAAGACAAAGTAAAGATACAAGTGAGACGATGAGCGCAGTACCCGTCAGTTTTCTTTCTCTTTTGAACCTAGAATGGAATTGAGGATGACGACTACGCCGTACTTTGATAATAATGAGGATGTAAGTTACACAGATAACAAATAGAGAAACTGCATAAAATGGGATATACAAGTAAATATTAATTACCACTAGATCAGCAATTCCCCTTAAGAAAATTTGAGCTGCTTCTCTAACAATAGGTATTAACCAAATGACAATAATTACGGCTCTATGAACCCATTTCCTCACAAAGCGATGCCTGAATGGACAAAATGTTGCGTGTAGCCGTTCTAAGGAAACAGCAATAAGGTTTATAAGGGAAGTGAACGAGAATAAATGTAAAAATGCAAAAGATAAATTATGAGGCCAAACAGTCCTTTGTCTGTAATTCCATAGTGGACAGAACCACCCCATCATGTGTTCAATCTGTAGTGGCCCAGAGACTAGGCCCACTAAGGGATCGACTATCGCCAGATGGATGATCAAATATGTACTCTGCCGCTGTAGCTGGCGCTTTTTCTTCATAAAGACAACAACGGTGATGATATTAAGGACAACTATGGCCAGACATTCGATGATGAGGACCACAAGCCATGGAATACACTGCGAATTTGAGGAGAAAGGCTGCATTTTCTCTGAGCTCTGTTAGCTGCCATGAAAATAACAAAAAGCAGTTTAATCAAAGATAAAATGAAATATGAATTCAATATTCTCAATAAAGAAATATGTCAAATATACAGTAAGAAGACCTGCTCCTCTTCTCGGAGCTGCTTTCGAAGTACGGTTGTTGTTGTTACCGCTTTGAAAATTTCAAGGACAAATTAACTGTATGCATGGTGAAATTTAACCAACATTATTAAAAGCAAAAACATCTCTTATGCATTATTTTTCTCACCCAGACGTTTAATCATTTTTGTTTCTCGCTCGGGATAAATTTCTTCCTTTGTCAATATCATAAGCAACAAGCGTGAGAAAGATATCTTTTTCGTCGCGATGAGTCTTCTCGTCTACGCTCGGCCAGGATTCAATTCAGAGACTCGAGAGTGAATCGCGTAACCATTTTGCACATCCCAGATCACATAAAATCTTACAGTCAACACGCGATATAGGGCTTTTAAGGTGTTTTGGTACCTAAAGTCTTTGTTTTGTTTGAGACGATTTTGTTCTGGAGTTTTTGTGTTCATGTACGTAATTTACATAAACGAATCCAAATTTTTGAAGGCTGTATTTTAAACGTATGGAAAAATATACATAATGAGGCAATTCAAGTGAGGAATTACTGTTATATTACGTTACTTGCTCTCGAATGGGGTGGGGGGTGGGGGAGCATGATTAAAGGAGTTTTTTAAACCGGACGCGCAGAACTTTGGTACACTCTTTCAATGCACGATCATTCACCCTGGGTTTCAATGAATATCAGGACATCGGGAAAAAGTCCTTCTTTGCTTTTGTAAAGTATATTTCTTAAAATTAGACGCGTGTATATAACGACACAAACGTGTTTAGACTGTATCCTCTGCTCAACATGACATTTTTGCCTTTTTTTTCACCTTAAAATTCATATCTTAATGTAGATGTCTTAGTCTTTTAATTCTGCATTGTGTTTTATACAATTCTGTATTTTATCTTATACTAATATGTGTCCCCTTATTAGTATGGGTTCTCTCAGGCTACATGGTTTGACACTTTAATAAGGTTTTTTATTATTATTACAATGCACGATTATTATCTCTGGCCGGTTTCGATGAAATAGTGGGAACTCGGCAAAGAGTCCTCCAGTCCTTTTGTAAAGTATATTTCTTAAAAAAACACGCATGTTCGGAACGTCACAACCCTGTTTAGACTGTAAACATAGACTCTCATCTAAACACTTTTATTGATCACGCACTTCAATTCTTTAAAACTGCAGGAGTTTACTTCTGTTTGCCAATCAATCCGAAACGTAGACATTATAAATCTAGTTGCCCATAAAAAGAAGCCTATGAACGGAATGTTTCTTGAAGCCTTTCTTGTGAAATGTTCAGTAAGATTTTTAATTTCGGCAAGATAATTTGCTCTGTTTAAAATCATTGATATTCTTTGCACTGAAGTAGCTGATCTAATACACTGAACTTTAAGACTCGCATATCGATGGCTTTGTTAGAAATTCCTTATTTGAACTAAGCAGCCTTTTTGAAACTTAAGACTCCCAATTTATATGTGGTCGCAATGGAAAAATTTTTTGCCGCGTTTAATGATTGTTTCCTCTTGTTTTCTGCCAAACGCAGAAAAATTGGTTGAGGAAATCTTTTGACATCAAAAGATGAAAAACGCTCGTAAAATGCAAAACATCGTTTTACTGCGTTAGTTAGTTGTCTATAATACAAGAGGTCGTCCGCCCATGCAGGATTACTGGAATAGTATCGGCATAAAACCTGTTTTAAAAATAATCGCGATATAAAAACGGCCGTCAATATTACACTGAAAGCAAACTTAAATATTTACCGGCTTGGAACCTTAATAGCGAGTCTACAATAATTCTATTAGTAATTTTGCTATTTGTCTTTTTCTTTATTTCTTCCTTTCATTCTCTTGCCAAGCTCAACCCCGGTGCTCTAGATTCTTAATGTAACGTATAGAGGCCTATAAGGGCCTTGGCGCCTGGAGCATTAAAATGAAATCATATATACGAAACTTAACTTCTTTCAATATTGCAACAATTTCAGAAATTCACTCGGCTGTGCCAAAACAACCCGTCCAAGATTTAATGCTCAGCTGAGGTTTTTTACGTTAATATATATATGTGTGTGTGTGTGTGTGTGTGGGTGCGTGTGTGTGTGTGTGTGTGTGTGTGCCGGTATATCTAGCATGACAACTGCCGATTACATAATATATAAGAGAAAAGAAGAGAAGAAATTTCCAAAACTAAAGGACTAACGAGGAAATATCTGCAGTGATTCTAAAGTTACGTCGTTAGTGTTCTTGACCGACAGTATGCATTAACCAAATAAATATAATTGTAAACTTCTAAAAGATTGTAAGACTGAGATGATACCCTTACGATTAGAACATCAGGGCCAACATCACAGAGCTGCGCACTGATATCTCAAATCTCTCTATCTTCCCGCTTTTAAGAAATGGTCTGTGAGAGTTATGAGCTTTATCAAACTTTCTCGATAGACAGATACAGTCTTTCGTTACCAGTCTTCCACGGAGTGTCTTGATATTGCGGGGCGGAAGACACTATGTTGAATCTGAGAGGTTAAGGAGATGAATTGTTTTACTCGTACACCGTTGTGGAAGACGACTTTTCCCTGGTAAATATGAGCACAACTTAGTTGATGTTCGTTCCATTATTTCTCTTACTGTGCATTTCGAGGACTAGCGAAAACCTGGATGAGAAATCTAATTCTAAGGGAAGCAACAAAGGTGTTTGCCACTACAAGTAATTCTTTCGCTTTTTCCTTCCAACAGTTTATGTTTATGTTTTGAATGAGATGTTTGCTTCGTTTTACGCTGCTTGTGATTCAGCCCACGGTGATGGATGTATTTCACATTACAAGTAAACAAACTAAACGTCATATTAAAGGTTTCACTTCGTCGTGCAAATGAAAGTGCTACAGATGCCATATCGCTAAGTTGTTTATTCTATTCATTGTTGTGAAAACCAGCGATGTATCTCATCTATATTTCAGGAGTTTGTGCGTCAACTTCAGAAGTCATTCACTATGGCGGCTTTTGCGGCAAGGTGTTACTTGATTCGGATTGGGCTAGTCAGCTTAGATCAGTATTGCAATTTTTATCACGAACACTTCGTACCAGGATTGTCAGTGACGATAACAAGAGAGTTCAGTTTCCTCGGTTTGAATAAAGTAACAGGATATTAATTTATGTAAGCTGAACCTTTATGTCGTTGTTATTGCGAAAAGAAGCTTGGCTCTTTTCCTCATTTCACTTATTCGTCCTTAGCTATATTTTAAAAGAACGCAAAATCCGATGGCACAAGCTCTTTTTTAGCAAATTAAATATTCGCTGCCTGAAAACATTCAAATTCAAGTATCCTTCCTACTTTCCAACCATTTATCCGAGATGTTCTTAAGTTCCAAGATGACACATCGACTTAGGCTATTACACGATTTGAAGTACGTGTAATAGCGGAGCTCGCAGAGCGTAGCCCCATAATTATACAAAATAGTAGTAACCCATCAAGCCGAAAAAATTTGGATCTACGACCGTACGTTTGCATTTACATCGCATGTCATCATGGAATGACATAATTATAAGTGATAAGTCAAATATTGTGTTTGTATTTTGGACTCTTTTGCTGACAAAAAAAATACCTTACCGAGAGTTTGCGTGTTTATAAACACGCAAAGAAGTGGGGAGAAACACTCGACTACGCCTCGTGTTTCTACGACACTTCTTTCGTGCTCTAGCCGTTTGCTGCGTGCTTTACAACAGAACAGAGCACAGGCGAGGCTTCTCTATTTGTTAAGTGGTTGAGATTGTAAACCTGGGTATTAATAAAAACAAAATTCCTGGTGCCCAAATTATAAAAAGGCTCAACAATAACATCGTCAGTTAAACCAAGATATATCTTCACTGGTCTTGTAAGTTTAATGAAAATTCGATTACTGACTCTGGCTAAAATTATCAGATACTTTTGTTTTCAGCCTCATTTTGCCACGAACCTTTGAAGGCTTTTCATCACGGACACATGAAAAGTTGACCTTTGTTTAGTCGCAACTTTCGACAAATTCCTTGAAAATTTTGGTTTTCTCGTTGCTCCATATCACCATACCACGTGTTACATACAATAAATACGTCACTCGGTTCCTGGACGTGGTGGTCGTATTGATACTAAGATTGTGTGCGTGAGAGTTTGGGTTCCCGGTAAAACTTTCCCGTCCATATACCAGCAGTGGTTATTTAAGAGGTTTAATTCGCGCACATTTTTGCTTTGCTTTGCTTTGCGCATGGTGCTTTTCCATAAAGCAATAGAAGAATTTTTCCATGTTCACGCAGTCTCATCAACATATAGGGGTGGGGAAGGGGTAAGAAAGTCACTCTAAGTTATTCATCTGGGGTTTGTTAAAACTTGCGTTTACTTTGGTTAAAGTCTAGCTGTCATGCAAATGATCACAACGTAGAGTAAGTTGAGTAAACTGTTTTTATTCACAGGCAAAACTATACTGTGTCGATCATCTTTTCGTATATCACCAGCGTATTATTCCTGACTCATGTTAAGAATTAAATGGAAACCAAAAACTGAAATAGAAATACATGTCGCTCGGCTAAGAAGTTGAAGTTATTTAAATGACAAATTTCATCAATAGTTTTGCTACCATTTATCTACGCTCTCTAAAGGTTACGAAGAGGCAGGTTTGCTGGGGCGACACGAGAAAGGTTAGGGACCCTGTAAACTAGCTGTAATAAACCTTCTCTGAATCCTGGCATCCGAAGAGCGTAAATTATAGGATTTACAAGTGAGTTAGCTAAGAATAGAATTAGCGTAGCCAAATTAATATGAACATTCATCAAACAAGTGAAGGAAATGTGACGACATGCTACATATATCATCGCGGGTAGAAGACAAAGTAAAGATACAAGGGAAACGATAAGCGCAGTACCCGTCAGTTTTCTTTCTCTTTTGGACCTAGAATGGAATTGAGGATGACGACTACATCGTACTTTGATAACAACGAGGATGTAAGATACACAGATAATTAATAGAGAAACTGCATAAAATAAGATATACAAGTAAGTATCAATTACCACTACATCAACAATTTCCAATAAGAAAATTTGAGCGGCTTCTCTAACAATAGCTATAAACCAAATGACAATAGTTATGGCTCTATGAACCCATTTCCTCACAAAGCGATGCCTGAATGGATAAAATGTTGCGTGAAGCCGTTCTAAGGAAATAGCCATAAGATTGATAAGGGAAGTGAACGAGAATAAATGTACAAATGCAAAAGATAAACGATGAGACCAAATAGTCTTTCGTCTGTATTTCCATAGAGAACAGAGACTCCCAATTATGTGTTCAATCTGTAGAGGCCCAGACACTACGCCCACTAAGAGATCGACTATCGCCAGATGGATGATCAAATATGTACTCCGCCGCTGTAGCTGACGCTTCTTCTTCACAAAAACAACAATGGTGATGATATTAAGGATGACTATGGCCAGACATTCGACGATGAGGACCACAAGCCATGGAATACACTCTGAAGCTGAAGACAAACGCTGCATTTCTCTGAGCTCAGTTAGCTGCTATAAAAATAACCGAAAACATTTGAATTAGAGATAAAATGAAATATGAAACGAATATTCTCAATAAAGATATATGTCAAATATTGCTTTTTACTTTTTTTATGTGCTTTGACTAAGTTTCGTCTGTTAACTAAAACTGATCCTCGTGTTTTTTTATGCGGATATGAATATACATCATAGCCTATTCCTTTTTTTTTTCTTTCAATAAAGACGAATTTAATAATAATAATAGAACTTTTTCGATGTTCACTGAATAAGCGGAAAGCTTTGCCACTAGTGATCTCAATTGCATGAAGGAAGTTTATAGCCTCCAAAAGTAGATGGCAACAAAAAATTTGGGAAATCTTCCGGAAATAGAGTAGAAAGACTGAGTAGAAAAACCTGCTTCTCTTCTCGGTGCTGCTATTAGAAATTCGGTTGTGTTTGTTACCGCGTTGAAAATTTCAAAGATAAATTAACTGTAGGTACGGTGATATCTAACTAACCTTTTTAAAAGAAAAAACATGTCTTATGTTTTATTTGCTACACCTAGAAGTTTAATTATTGTTTTTTCTCGCTTCGGATAAATTTCATCCTTTGTCAATATCATAAGCAACAAACCGGAGAAATACATCGTTTTCATCGCGTTCCGATTATTAAGATTATCAATGACATATTTTCGTCCATATTGATTCAATTTTCCTCAGCTCATCGAAGGAAGAATTTGCGAACGAATCTTATGAATATTTTGAACTTACCTCACGAAAGTGTTTCTATCCTTTTGACGAATTGAGTTTAAGTCAAATGCGGAAAAGGCGGTTTTCAAATAGAAAAGAAAGTAGCAGGCTGAGGAAGAGTGCAATGCAGACTAAACTTATCATTATTAGAACTCCAATTTAGTTTTCCCGAATGATTGACAGATAATAGCTGAAAGGAAAACGGCATTTTTTAGTGCAGCTAGACAAGAATTAGAGATAGAGGCATCTGCCTAAACTCCGCGATTGTTAATGTGATTAAAGTCCTTATCGTGGTAAATCCACCTACAAAACAGCTGAATATAGAGAATCAACATATGCACATCAAACGAGTTTTTTTTTTCAGATTGTCAGTCACGGTGACCATAGCAACAGAATTATATCTACGGTTAGGAATATATGAAAGTCATATATTTGAACTGCGGATAAAGGCATGAATGAAAGTGATCCTCGCAGTGATGTGCACTACTTAGGCAGTAGTGAAAATAAGGCCTGAAAAAAAAAAAGAATTATATCTGTTACCCTTCTTTCATACTTTCAATCATTTTCATGTGCTTTTTTTTAGTGCAATACATATCCAGGAGTTTGATAATTCAGTCTCCCTCTCTCTTTTTAGAACAAATTTCTTCTTTTTCCAACAATAAAATCGTCTTGTCACGAACGTGTAACGAAGGCTGAGAAGCAACAGGCTTTTCACAACAGGTCTCAAATTCCTTAATCGTTTCATAAGCATTAAAAAAAAAGGAAATGAAACAAAAATTCTAAAATTTCCCACAGGCTTACAAAAGATTTTCTATAACTTCTCTCCACTCATTTTTTAACTCGCTTTACCTCATCTCACTCAAGTTAGAGTTTGTAAACGAATTAAATCTCACGAACATACCTCACTGACAACGAAGTACTTCGTATCCTCTAAAAAATAAGTTAGAGTCAAATTTGACCAAATGCGGTTATCCCAATGAATAAGAAAACAACAAGTCAAGGAATAGAGATAGAGAATAAACACTCCATTATAAAGATTCGAAATTAGTTTTGCAAATGTCTGACATATGATATCTAGATGTGGGAAGACGTTTTGAGTGCGGCTGAACAGGAACAACAGGTAAGCTGTTCTACACCTGTACGTCGTTAATTCAAAGAAAGTTTCGTATGTACGTATAACCAAAACGCCGGCAAAACAGCTTCGTCTGGAAAATCAATACTTGAATATCAAATAAATGAAGATGAACAGCTTCTAGAAACCTTAAATGCAGTTTTGAAAGCTTTTAGTGTTTACAGGAGAAGTTATATCACTGAAGAGGGCAATTTAACCGGCTGAGAAACCGTTTTAAGATTGAAATACGAAGCATTTTTTTTAACGTTGTTAATTATGGTCCACGTTTTTTTTCCTCTTAAAAAACTTCTTTAGTCGATTTTTATCTGGTAAAAAATTTCTTAATTAAAGACTTAAGACTTTATTTTCTTGCAAGGTATTTCATAAGTAAAGGAAACCTACTGGACAGAACTTCATGGGTATCATCATAAATTCGACTGCTTAATTTTTTAAGTTAAAAATATTCTTATGAATAAGACATTTATTGACAACCTCACGTTCACTGTCTCACAGGCGGGATCATATAGGAAGTAATAGGGTATGTTAATTTTAGTGCAGCTGAACCGAAATTTTGGATAGAAGCATACGCCTGTATTGCATTAATTTGGACTAAGTCCGTTACTTTCTCGTTGTCAAACTGAAAAATACTATCGGAGATGAGCTATTTCCTAAGTCATAGAGTTGAATTTTTTAAATTTATATAAACCGGAAATGCCGGAAATGCAGAACTTTGGCGAGTACTCTCTCAATGCACGATTATTCTCTCTGGTCAGTTTCGATGAACTTGTGGAAACTCCACAAGCCCTCCACTGCTTTAGTAAAGTATATTTCTTAAAAATACACGCGTGTTTGGAACGTTATAACCGTGTTTAGACTGTAAACATACACTCTCATCTCACCTCATCCAATTTGTATTTGGTTGCGGTGGCTAAATGCAACGATATAGTGGTCGAGGAAATCTAGATCTTTTGACATCAAAAGATGAAAAGCAGTCGTTAAATGCAAACTTTAAAAACTTCGTTTTACTGCGGTAATTAGTTGTCAGTAAGAAAAACAATTTGATAAGAGGTCGTCCGCCCATGCAGGATAACTCGAATAGCTGTGGGAATAAAACCTGCTTTCAAAATAACCGTGACATAAAAACCACCGTAAATATTCCAACAGTTTATGTTTTGCATGAGATATCTACTTCTTTTTACGCTACTTGTGAGTTAACCCACGGTGAAGGAATTTTTGATGAAAATTGGCAGTCTTTAAAAATTTCAAAATTAAATTTTGAAACTTAAGGCTCCCAATTCATATGTGGTTGCAATGGCTAGATTTTTTGCCTCGTTTAATGATTTTTCCCACTTGTTTTCTACCAAACGCAATTAGACGCAACGATAAAGTGGTCTACAAAATCTCTTGACATCAAAAGATGAAAAAACGGTCGTAAATTGCAAACTTAAAAGACATCGTTTTACTGCGGTAGTTAGTTGTTCGTAATAAAAAAATTTGATAAGAGGTCGTCCGCCCATGCAGGTAACTCGAATTGCATTGGCATGAAACCTGTTTTAAAAAAAATCGTAATACAAAATCCGCCGTCAATATTATACCGAAAGCAAACTTAAATATTCACCGGCTTGGAACCTTAATAGCGAGTTTATGATAATTTTACTAGTAGTTTTGCCATTTGTCTTTTTCTCTATGTCTTCCTCCATGCTTTTGCGAAGCAAAACCCCGATTTTCTAGGCCTAATGTAACTTAGAGAGGCCTACCCCAACGCAAATGCAAATGCAAACGCAAGAGTCAACGCAAGGAATAAATAGAGAATAATTCATGGTAATACATGGGCGCGCGTAGATATGGAATTTCTCTTCGAGTGTTTAACTCGATAGCTCACGAGTGAGATGTCAAGTTAAACACGAGAAGAGAAATTTCATATCTACAAGCAACTACGTATTATTATGTTTTTCATATAAACATAAAAGTCGACTCTATTAGTGAATGAAAATAAAAGGATCGACAATCCCCGAATACAAATCGTAAAATGCATTAGCGAACTCAAGATGAAAACATGTGTTGAATCACAACAAAAAAACAATTGGCCTAATTTTCAATATACAAAATTCTCAGGTATTGAATTGGTCCTTACCAGCGGAAGAAATCATTCTGGTAAATGGCCACAATCGGCCTGTCGCAAATCTTCCAGTTGTCGATTTTCGATCTCAGCCGCGAGAAATACCACTACCAAAGCCACTAAATACGGAACTTTCGGTTTTTCATTTCGTATTTTGGTTTTTTTCCTTTCTAAGGAAGTTTGAACGTCAGTCTCTGTAAGCGTCGATACGGATATTTCAGTTTTCTAGCAGCCATAATTCGAAAATGTTCCGACAAATGACCTTGGATTGAGAATGGTGGAGGCTTTGTTGTTCTTTCGTCAACCTGACCGAGTGGCGCGAAAGGCGTGTAACATGTTAGCAGCTGATTGGCGATATGAAACACACGTGAAAAAATATCGCTTTTTTTTTTACCTGTGTTGTTAAGGCCTTCCTCGGGGCTGGAAATCCTTGTATAACACAGTAGTTTGTATGATAAAACATTTTCCAGTTTGTGTTTGCGTTCGCTTCTCACACGTGTGAATCGGCAAAAGCTCAATCATTGTCGGCCATCTTGGAAAAATACTTCTACTGCGCTTGCGTATCTCTCTTTCCTTGCGTTTGCGTTGAACGTGTGAACTCGCTTGCATTTCCATTTGCGTTTGCGTTTGTATCGCACGTGTGAGCCAGTCTTCAGATCCTTAGATAGAATGACATACTTATAATTATAAAGCTGAATGCGTTTTCAATCTGACAATTGGCAATGTTTCTTTTATGTTGAGCCGTTCTGTTTTCATTTCACGACGTTCTACCTTCTCCATAGAGAATTATAATTAAAAATAAAAGGTCTGCGTTTTGGACTCTTTTGCAAGCAAAAAAATGCCCCCTAGCGAGAGTTTACGTGTTCATAAACAGACACGCCTGCTATGAGTGCCCTCTGGTCGATATATAGAGGATATTACACGGTGAAGAGAAGACATGAATTGTATGTTCGAGTGGCAAGAACAGTATCAAACGAGTGAGCGCAGCAAACGAGTGAGGTATTAATCAAATGAACATAGGGGGTAACTTTCTAAAGAAACTGTGGTGCTGCGTCGGTGGGAGAGTATAACAGGGTAATTAGTGTTATTAACTGAGTTGAAAACGTAAATTGGCCACCGTAAAGAGTTTAAGGGCTGATGTTTCGAGCGTTAGTCCTTTGTCAGAGCGATTGAAGGAATTGTGGGTTTTGTGCGGGTTCATATGCAAAAAATGGAGCCACGCTATTGGTGAGAATATGGTGACGAGAAAACAAGAATAGATAAGTTGAATGAAAAGCGCTAGCGCTTGTTGATACCATGAGGATTAAGAATGTCGATTTGGAAGATAAATTTTTGTTCTAGAGTTTTGCGGCTTTCCGAAATGCCTAGATTTAGGGAAAGACCGCAAACTGCCATGTGCTGTTTAGAATGATTAGGGAGACTGAAGTGTATTGCGACTGGTTTGGATGCGTCCTTGTCATTTCTTTCTACGTTGCGAAGGTGTTCTCGGAATCGGTCGCCTAATGTATAACTTTTTGTAATGAGTGCAAGTTATGCAGTAAATGACATTGGCTGAGGTGCACATAAGAGGTCTTAATGGATCTCTTAGGTCCCGAAATTTTCCCTACGTTATGAATGAAAGGACAAGTTTTGCATCGTGAGCGAGCGCATTTGAAAATTCCAGGTTGGTCATTGGTTTGAAATGAACTTCTTACCGAAAAGTTGGCAATGTTTTTGTAACATTTGAATGAAATTAGTGGAGGTTGTGACAAGATATTAACAGTCTCTGAATCGTTTTGGAGTAATTTAAAGCTTATAAGATCACTCATCACTAATCATTACAAACCTTTGAAGGCCGTTCAGCACGGACAGATGAAAAATTGACATGTGTTTAGTCGCAACTTTCGATAAATTCCTTGAAAATCTTGGTTTTCTTGTTCTTTTGTTGTTCGAGAAATGCTGATTCACATCTTCATCGCTTACCGCAACAAATCTTGCTGCCAATTAATATTCGAAACAACAGACAAACCAGTATTTTAAGTCAAATGCAGAAAGGTCGGTTTTCAAATAGAAAAGAAGTGCCATGCTGAGGAAGAATGTAATGCAGACTAAACTTATCACTATTGGAACTTCAATTTGGTTTTTCGGAATGATTGACATATAATAGCTGAAAGGAGAAGGGCATTTTTAGTGCAGCTAAACAAGAATTACAGATAAAAGCATCCGCCTAAACTCCGCGATTCTTCGTGTGATTAAAGTCCTGCATCGTCGTAAATTCACCCACAAAACAAAGGAATATAGAGAATCAGCTAAAGCTTTTTGTTTTTACGGGAGAAATTATATCATTGAAGCAGAAGTAAGGGAGGTAATTAGAACGTGTTAATTTGAGAGCAGCTAAACTGAAATTTTGGATAGAAGCATACACCTGTATTGCCTTAATTTGAACGAATTTCAAACTGCAAAATACTCTCGGAGATGAGCTATTTCCTAGATCGCAGAGTTGAACTTTTTAAAAGCTGTCGGTTAGTAATTGAGAATATATGACATTAAGGGAAAAAATGATACAGTCGACAAAATGTTACAAAATAAAATTACACGGTGACATTTAACTCTTTTGATCTGCCTGTGCATTTGTATTAAACTTAAATTTAACTCCAGTGAAAAAGGGTAGTATTTTCTCCTTATGATGATTCCAATTTTTTGATACTTGCCGTTTGAAAACTCGACGTTCTGTCTTTTCCCGCAGCAATAAAAACACCAAATATTTATCATTTGGTTATAAGCTACACAAAGTGGTGTTTCTAATGCCTCTAATGGCAAGAAGCAGCAGTTATGATTTTATTTTTGAAACCCCATCATGTGTTCCTCGTTCTATCTAATTTCTCTCTGAGTTATCTGTGCAGTTGCTGTTTAGGTTAATTCAGTCATCTTCCTAGATTATTTTTCGTTCCACTCAAAAGAGAAGGAAAACTAACCGGAAGCTCACTATTCGTTGCACTTGAATCGTTGTTTAGTTTTCTAGAAGCGAAAAAATGCATTTCTTGTCATTTTAATCACTTAGATATTTGTACCGTTTCTATCTTTAGTCAACTCTTATATGAGTCTTCTCGTCTACGCTCAGCCAGGATTCAATTCAGAGACTGGAGCGTATCGCGTAACCATTTTGCAGGACCCTAGATCACATAAAATCCAAAGTCAACCCGCGATATTCAAAGCATAGGGTTTTAAGGTGTTCGGTACCTATATAGTCTTTGTTTTGTTTGAGACGATTTTGTCCCGGAGTTTTTGTGTTTATTTACATAATTTACATAGGCGAATCCAAAGTTTTGAAGGCTGTATTTTAAACGTATTGAAATGTATACATAGTGAGGTAATTCAAGTGAGGACTTATATTTCCGTACTTGCTCTCGAAGGGGGCTAGGAACAGGGGAGCATTAAAGAAGGAGTTGTTTTAAACCGGAAATGCAGAACTATGGAGTACTCTCTCAGTGCACGATTATTCACCCTAGTCGGTTTCGACGAACTTGTGGAAACTCATTTATCTATTTTTTGTTTGTTGTTGTTTTTCTTGTTTTTATTAAGTCTCCATTAATGGGTGGATTGTTAATAAAGTGAATATTTCAACCCAAATCAATAAACGCAGCTTTGGAAAAAATACGCTTTACCAGTATTTTTCTCCCTGGGAGGCGGGGTTGCAGTGGGCAGTGTGTCAACCTCAGAAGTCATTAACTATGGCGGCTCTTGCGGCAAGGTGTCACTTGATTCGGATTAGGCTAGTTAACTTATATCAGAATTGCAATTTTTATCACAACCAGTTACCAGGATTCCTCAGGGACGATAACAACAAAATTTAGTCTCTTCGGTCTGAATGAAAAGCTGAACCTCTATTTCGCTCCCATTGCAAAAAAAAAAAGCGCGGCTATTTTCCTCATTTTAGTTATCCGTCCCTAATTATACTTTGAAAGAACGCAAAAACTGGTGGCACAAAATCGTTTTTAGCAATACAAATACTCGCTGTCTGAACACATCAAATTCAAGTGTCCTTCAAACTTTCTAACCATTTATCCGAGATATTCTCAAGTTCCAAAGTGGCACATCGACTTGGGCTATTATACGATTTGAAGTACGTAAAATATTTCTATTGTGCTGCCTCTAAAAAGTTTAATTAATTTCCTAAGAGAGTGATAGGATTAGTACCCACACCTCCCTCTGTCAATCAAGCACACCAGGAGACCTCAGCAAAACGCAACTGCAAATGCAAGGAATTGATCGTGTGAACCACCCAACGCAAATGCAAACGCAAACGCAAGCGTCAACCCAAGTAATAAAAAATTTTCATCTTCTTGAGCCAGTATTTGCGTTCGCTTCCCACACGTGTGAATCGGCAAAAGCGCAATCATTGTCGGCCATCTTGGAAAAATACTTTTACTGCGCTTGCGTATCTCTCTTTCCTTGCATTTACGTTGGACGTGTGAACTCGCTCACATTTCAATTTGCGTTTGCGTTTGCATTTGCATCGCACGTGAGAACCAGTCTTCAGAACCTTCCTCGGAATGACATACTTATAATTACAGAGCTGACTACGTTTCCAACTGAAAATTGGCAATGTTTTTAATATGATGAGCCGTTTTGTCTTCATTTCATAAAAAATGATAAATAAAATAAAAGGTCGGCGTTTTGGGACTCTTTTGTTCTCACTGGTAGATAAACTGAGAATATTACTCGGTGGCGAGAAGATATCTTGGTTTTCTCGTTCTCATGTTGTTCGGGAAATGCCGATTTACGTCTTCGTCGCTTAATCTTGCTGCCAATTAATATTCCAAACAAAAAACAAACCAAGTTAATTCAGCAAAGTTTAAACAGGCCCGAATCGTGCCGTCGTTGCTCAATATCACCACGCCATGTGTTACATATGAAAAATACGCCTCTCGGTTGCTGGATGTGTTGGTCGTATTGATACTACGAGTGTGCACGTGAGTGTTTTATTTCCCGGTAAAACACTCCCGTCCATATGAAAACTGTGGTTATTCCAGAGGTTGTAAATACAATTTTGACTTTTTTATTCACACATTTTTGAATTGCTTTCCTTTGCGCATAGTGCTCTTCAATAAAACCAAAAAAATTGTTTTCCGTGTTCACACAATCAATGTGGGTGGGGGAGGGGGTGGGAGAGTCCCTCTAAGTTATTCATCTCGGATTTGTTAAAAGTCACATTTATTTTGGTTCACGCTGTCATGCAAATGATCACAACGTTGGGCCCATAGAAAGTTGATTAAACTGTTTTTATTTAAAGGCAAAACTATACTGTATAAATTATCTGTGCGTAGACCACCAGCGTATTTTTTTTTTACAAGCGTTAAGATTTTAATGGAAACCAAAACAAAAAATGGAAATGCTAGTAGTTTTCTTACCTTTAATCTACACTCTTCTAAGGTTACGAAGTGGTAGGTTTGCTGGGACGTTAGAAATGTCTGGACCCTGTAAACTAGCTGTAATAAACCTTCTCTGAATCCTGGCATCCGAAGAGCGTAAATTATAGGATTTACAAGTGAGTTAGCTAAGAATAGAACTTGCACAGCCATCTTAATATGAACATTTATGAAATAAGTGGAGGAAAAGCCAAGATATGCTAAATATATTATCGCTGGTAGAAAACAAAGTAACGATACAAGTGAGACGATAAGCGCAGTACCCGTCAGTTTTCTTTCTCTTTTGGACCCAGAACGGAATTGAGGATGACGACTACATCGTACTTTGATAACAACGAGGATGTAAGATACACAGATAACAAATAGAGAAACTGCGTAAAATAGGAGAAACAAGTAAGCATTAATTACCTCGAAATAACCAATTTTCAACAAGAAAATTAAAGCGGCTACTCTAACAATAGGTATTAACCAAATGACAATAATTATGGCTCTATAAACCCATTTCCTCACAAAGCGATGCCTGAATGGACAAAATGTTGCGTGTAGCCGTTCTAAGGAAATAGCCATAAGATTTACAAGGGAAGTGAACGGGAATAGCTGTGTAAATACAGTAAATAGATAATAAGACCAAAGAGTCTCTCGTCTGTACTTCCATAGCGGACAAAACAACGTTACAACTTTTTCAATCATTAGCGGCCCAGAGACTGCGCCCGCTAAGAGATCGACTATCACCAGATGGATGATCAAATATGTACTCCGCCGCTGTAGCTGACGCTTCTTCTTCACAAAAATCACAATGGTGATGATATTAAGGATGACTATGGCCAGACATTCGATGATGAGGACCACAAACCATGGAATGCACTCTGAAGCTGAGCCGAAAGGCTGCATTTTCTCTGAGCTCTGTTCGCTGCTATAAAAATAACAGAAAACAGTTCAATTAGAGATAAAATGAAATACGAACTCAACATTCTCAATAAAGAAATATGTCAATGCTTTTTATGTTTTTTTAACGTGTTTTGACCAACTAAGTTTCGTCTGTTAACTAAAACTGATTCTCGTGCTTCTTTATGCGACATTCATACCCGGAAATTTAATCATTCAGCCTATTCATTTTTTTTTCTTTCGAAAAAGACGAATATAATAATATGAACTTTTTTGATGTTCACTGAATAAGCGGAAAGCTTTGCCACCAGTGATCTCAGTTGCTTGAATGAAATTTATAGCCTCCAAAGACAGATGGCAACAAACAATTTCAAAGACAGATGGCAACAAACAATTTAGAGATCTTCCGGAAATATAGAAGAAAGGTTGAGTATAGAAAGATCTACTCCTCTTCTCGGTGCCGCTATTCGAAATACGGTTGTTCTTGTTACCGCCTCGAAAACTTCAAAGACAAATTAATTGTAGGTACGGTGAAACATAACGAACATTTTTAAAAGCAAAAGCATGTCTTGTGTTTTATTTTCTACACCCAGAAGTTTAGTAATAGTCTTTTCTCGCTTCGGATAAATTTCTTCCTTTGTCAATATCATAAGCAACAAGCTGGAGAAAGATATCTTTTTCGACGCGTTACGATTATTAAGATTATCAATAACACATTTCCGTCCATATTGATTCAGTTTTCCTCATCTCATCGAAGACAGAATTTGCAAACGAATCTTAAGAATATTTTGAACTTACCTCAATGATAACGAAAGTGTTTCTATCCTTTTAACGAACTGAGCTTAAGTCAAATGCGGAAAGCGTGGTTTTCAAATAGAAAAGAAAGTAGCAGGCTGAGGAAGAGGGCAATGCAGACTAAACTTATCACTATTAGAACTCCAATTTAGTTTCTCCAAATGATTGACAGATAATAGCTGAGAGGAAAACGGCATTTTTAGTGCAGCTAAACAAGAATTACAGATAGAGACATCCGCCTAAACTCCACGATTGTTAATGTGATTAACGTCCTGTATGGTGGTAAATCCACCCACAAAACAGCTGAATAGAGAATTAACATTAGCACATTAAACGAGTGAAAAGAAAAAGTTCGTAAAATCCTTGAATGGAGCTTTGAAAGCTTTTGGTTTTTGCGGGAGAAATTATATCATTGAAGCAGGCAAGTTAACTGGCTTTGAACGATTTGTTAGAAATATGAGGTCCATTTGTAATTTGTTTTTTTCTTTTTAAAGGAGTTTGGGTAAACTAGAGAAGTCATAAACTATGGCGGCTCTCGCGGCTAGGTGTAACTTGATTCGCACCGCGAAAGTCAGATGTAGAAATAGGGTTGACAATTTTATCGCGCTTAATCGCCAATTAAGATTGTCGGTGACCATAACAACAGAATTATATTTGCTACCTTTCTTTTGTATTTTGACTCATGTTCATGTTCCGTTTTTTTGGTGCAATATACATATCCAGAAGTTTGATAATTTAGTCCCTCTCTCATTTTGGCACAAATTTCCTCTTTTTTCAACAATACAACATTCCTTCAATATGCTCTGAATAATCAAAAGCCTTTATACAAGAGATCTCAATTGCCTTAATCGTATTATAAGAATCAAAAGAAGCTAAAATTATAAAATTTCTACATACTTGTAAAAGATTGTTGATGTGTGTAAATATGATAACAAAGATGGCAAGAGGGAATCAAGTTGGAAAATGTTGTACTCAGTAATGAAACAAAGAAAGATCTTTTCATCGTCTCGTCACGTACGTGTAATGAAGGCTGAGAAGGAACAAGTTTTTCACAAAAGGTCTCCAATTCATCCACCGTTTCATAAGCATTAGAAGGAGGAAATAAGAGTACAATTCTAGAATTTTCCACAGGCTTCCAAAGGATTTTCCATAAACTCTCTCCACCCACTTTAACTCGGCTTACTTCATCTCACCAAAACTAGAGTTTGTAAACGAATAAAATCTTACGAACCTACCTGACTGATGACGAAGTACTTCGTATCCTTTAAAAACTGAGTTAGAGTCAAATTTGACCAAAGGCGGTTTTCCGAATGAATGAGAAACAGCACGCCACGGAATAGTGATAGAGAATAGACACACCACTATCACGACTCGAATTTAACTTTCCAAATGTCTGACATAGGATATCTAGATGTCGTAAGACGTTCTGAGTGCAGCTGAACAGGAACAACAGGTTAACTGTTTTAAACCTGTGCGTCGTTAATTCAAAGAAAGTTCCGTATCTATGTGAACCCAAACCGCCGGCACAACAGCTTCGTCTGGAGAATCAATACCTCAATATCAAATAAATGAAGATGAATAGTTTTTAGAAACCTTGAATACAGTTTTGAAAGCTTTTGATGTTTACAGGAGAAGTTATATCACAGAAGGCGATTTAACTGGCTGAGAAAACATTTCAAAATTAAAATACGAGGCATATTTTTTTCATGTTTTTTAATTTGGTTCAAAAAAATTTTTTTTTTGCTTAAAAAAACTTCTTTAGTCGATTTTTCATTTAATAATAATTTTTCCTTTGATTTTAAGTTGAAAAGTTGTGGCAGCGTGATCTAAGATGTTACAATACTCATCAGAACAAAGAGTGCGACATGGAGGAGAATTATGTAAATGTCTGAAAATTTGAGAATGCAATCACTGGTCAATTGCAAGTGCCCACCTACGCGTGTGGATAAATGTCGAAGGGTTTCGCAGACAAAGCAGGCATTAGAGTCCGCACATAAAAACTTGTAAAGTATACACGTACGGAGCCCACGAGGGTCTTTCACACCAAACATATCGGCTATTTTAAAAGATGAAAAAACTAACTCTATATCGATGTTGTTACAATAACACTTAGCAAATCGGCGAACCCTTTTTTTGCGCGACAAAAGAAAAAGGGCCAATGTAAGGTGATTTAAAATAAAAGTTAGTAGTTGTGTCTGAAACGGAGACCGGGGGATCGCACTCATCACGGGTAAGCGTGAGGTACCGATCGACAACCCTTTCAACCAGATGGGCTGAAAAAAGATTCTTTTTAAGGATTTCAGTGAGTTTCTTGATGTCTTCGTAGAAACCCAACCATGTGTTGTTGATCTTGTAGGCTCTATCAACAAGAGTGCGAATGAGACCCAGTTTGTAGGGATAAGGTACAAAGCTAAAATAATTAGTCATCAGTCAACATCACCAACTTTATCATGTTAATGTAATAATTTCTATATTTAAGACTTTATTTTCTTGCAAGGTAGGTCATAAGTAAAGCAAACCTACTGAACAGAAATTCAAGAGTATCGTCATAAATTCGACGGTGTAATTTTTTGAAACTAATACAGTTGTAATTTCATATCTTAAGTTAAAAATATTCTCATGAATAAGACATTTATTGACAGCCCCACGTTCACTATCTCACAGGCGGGATCATAAAAGAAGTAATTAGGGTATGTTAATTTGACTGCAACCGAACTGAATTTTGGATGAAAGTATACACCTGATTTGCGTTAATATGGAATGAGTACGTTACTTTATCGTTGTCAAACTGCAAAATGCTATCAGAGATGAGCTATTTCCTTGATCATAGAGTTGAATTTTTTAAAAGCTGTTGATTAGTACCTAAGAATATATAATATTAAACGGGAAAAATGATCCAGCCGACAAAACTTTAGAAAATTTTTGATACTTGCCATTTGAAAACTCGACGTTCTGCCTTTCCCCGTAGCAATAAAAACAACAAATATTTATAATTTGGTTATCTTTATCGACTACATTCAAAGTGGTGGTTCTTATACCTCTGATGGTAAGCAACTGCAGTTATGCGTTTATTTTTGAGACCCCATCATGTGTTCCCCATTCTATCGCATTTCTCTCTTAGTTATCTGTGCAGTTGCTGGTTAGGCTATCTCAGTCATCATCCTCGATTACTTTTTTTCCACTCAGAGAGAAAGAGAACTGAAAGGAAGCTCACTAATCGTTGCACTTGTATCGCTGTTTAGTTTTCTAAAAGCGACAAAATGGATTGCTTTTCATTCTAGTCGTTCAGATGTTTCTACCGTTTCTATCATTAGTCAACTCTCATATGGGTCTTCTCGTCTACGCTCAGCCAGACCTCGATTCAGAGATTGGAGTGTATCGCTTAACCATATTGCAGATCCCAGATCATATAATATCCAAAGACAGTACGCGATATTTCAAGCATGGTGTTTTAAGGTGTTTTTGGCTCCTATAGTCTTCGTTTTGTTTGAGACGATTTTGTTATGGAGTTTTTGTGTTCGTTTACATAATTTACAGAAACGAATCCAAACTTTTGAAGACTGTATTTAAAACGTATGGAAATATATACATAATAAGGCAATTCAATTGAGGAATTATGATTATATTGCCTTACTTTCTCTCGAATGGGGTGTGGGGGTGGGGGAGAACGATAAAAGAAGTTATTTAAAACGGAAATGCAGAACTATGGAGTACTCTCTCAATCCACGATCATTCACCCTGGCCGGTTTCGATTAACTTTTGGAAACTCGCCAAAGAGTCCTCCATTGCTTTTGTAAAGTATATTTCTTAAAAATACAGGCATGTTTGGAACGTCACAACCTTGTTTAGACTATTAACATAGACGCTCATTTAAACACTTTTGTTGGTCACATACATCAATTCTTTAAACCTGCTGGAGTCTTACTTCTGTTGCCATTCAATCCGAAAAGTAGACATCATAAACCCAGTTGCCCATAAAACGAAGCCTATGGACGGAATGTTTCTTAAAGCATTTCATGTAAAATGTACAGGAAGATTTTAATTTCGGCAAGATAATTTGCTCTTTTTTATCAACATTGATATTCTTTGTACTGAAGTAGCTGATCTAATACACTGTAAGTCTCGTCTATTGATGGCTTTACTAGAAACTCCTCATCTGAACCAATCAGCCGTTTTGAAACTTAAGACTCCCGATTTAAATGTGGCTGCAATGGCTAAATTTTCTGCCTCGTTTAATGATTTTTCCCTCTTGTTTTCTGCCAAACGCAATAAAACGCAACGATAACGAGGTCGACATCAAAAGATAGAAAACGATTGTTAAATGCAAACCTTAAAAACATTGTTTTACTGCGGTAATTAGTTTCAGTAAGAAAAACAATTTGATAAGAGGTCGTCCGCCCATGCAGGGTAACTCGAATAGCTGTGGAATAAACCTGCTTTAAAAATAACCATGACATAAAAATCGCCGTAAATATTCCAACAGTTTATGCTTTGCATGAGATATTTCTTCGTTCTACGCTACTTGTGAGTTAACCCACGTTGATGGATTTATTTCGGTAAAGTGAATGAATTTTTGATAAAAACTTGCAGTCTTTAAAATTTCACACTACATGTAAACAAACTAAACGTCATATTAAATGTTTCACTTCGTCGCGCAAATGAAAGTGCTACAGCTGCCATATCGCTAAGTTCTTTGTTCACCTCATTGTTATGGATACTAGCGATGCATTTATTATTGAGCTAACAACAGACTGGATAACTAATCCGCAGCGATGTTAAGGCATTTTACTCTTACTGATAACGTTGAAATAGTTCCGCAATCTTCATTTTGCACGATTCATTGTCTTTCATTGTTAATCAAATATTTCATTACGTGATCTACGTGAAATTAGCGATGGTTTAAAAGTTGAATTTAAAATCAAGGCGATTAAAGCCGCAATAAAGTTTCTTACTTAACCATTTCACTCCCAAAAGTGATCAACATGAAACTTCCCCCTATAATATCCTTACATTATCCAGCAAACAGGTAATGAAAATATTCCAACTTACCAGGTAGAAGTTGTTAACTTGATCTAACACAAAATTCTCAGAACTAAATTTACGAGGAAATGGTAACAGGTAGAGGGGAGAATTAACAATCAGATCGGGGAGTTAAAGGGTTAAAAAAAAGATAGCGAGTGTTAAGATACCCGAATTTCTCCTTTTCTTTTTTTCATCTATTTTTTGTTTGCTTTTTTTCGTTTTTATGAAGTCTCCATGTATGGGTGGATCACTGATTAAAAAAATATTCTAACATAGTGTGCGTGCTTGCGCTATGTAAGTCCTACTGAGCCTCTATGAACAAAATCTTTATTAACGCACGCCCGTGCGTAAATAAGATGACGTGATAATTTTTTTACCTGGCTTCAGGGTTTTCGTCCTGTTAAGCTGCAGTGCAGTTTCCCTTCTCTTTGAAATATGGAAGAAGCCAGCGAAGAACTGGCCAATTTTTCTATCGGCATTGACCTTTTAGGTCCTGATCCAACAAGCAACAAAAATAAAGCCGAAAAAAACTCGCAAGTTGCACGTTTCACAAACTTGTCGGAGGGGTAAACATTATTTTGAACGATCAAAACCCTTGATAACTTCGGGTCTTTGACTTTTAAAACATTTTTTAGTGACACTTGAATTCATCTGGCTTTGATTTTCTCCATTCTCCCCGTAAATTTTGAGCTTTTCATCCACAGTTATCGGTCAAACCAAAGTATAAAATGTGGGGTGTTTTTGACCAGCCAATAGGGACGTTTGTTTACTTTTTTTGTGCGTAGTGAGAATTTCTAATAAAAGGCTTATTCGCGCAGATCCTTGTTGTCGCTCTGGTATAAAAGAATTTGCTCATGCTTTTAGCTGTACGTACATCGAGTTATGGATGCACCTGGGAAGTTTGGAGAGCACTCAAAAAGCTAAAGTTGCTCTCGGCTGCGCCTCGAGCTACTCTTACGCATTTTTCGTGCTCTCCAAACTTTCCGCGTGCATCCATAATTCGATGTACGTACGCTAAGCATGAACAAATTCTTAATTTCAACCTGACTCAATAAACACAACTTTGGAAAAATTACGGTTTACCAGTATACCCTCTGGAATTCTCAGGACCTGGATTTTTCAAAACCATTGCAAAACATTCTTAGTTTGGGTGCAGTTTTGCGAGAATATCGTAACCTTTAAGAGCCAAAAAGTTTAAAATATTAAGATAGGAGCAATTTTTTCAGCTTACAGATAAGAAGAGGCGGGGTTTCAGGGGGCTGTGTGTCAACTTCAGTAGTCACTAATTATGGCGACTCTTGCTACAAGGTGTTAGTTGATTCGGATTGGGCTAGTCAGCTTAGATCAGAATTGCAATTTTTATCTCAACCAGTTGCCAGGATTGTCAGTGACGATAACAACGGTCTGAATGAAAAAACAGGGTATTGGTTTATGCAAGCTGAACCTTTATGCCGCCGCTATTGCAAAAATAAGTTCGACTCTTTTCCTCAATTCAGTTCTCCGTCCTTGAGTATACTTTGAAAGAACGCAAAAACTGAGGGCACAAAATCTTTTTTAGCAAAACAAATACTCGCTGCCTGAACACATCAAATTAAAAGCATCCTTCGTACTGCCCAACCATTTATCCGAGATGTTCTTAAGTTCGAAACTGACACATCGACTTAGGCTCTTACACGATTTGAAGTACGTAATATCTGTATTGGGCCGGCTCTGAAAAGTTACAGCAAGAACCTAAGAGGGTAGTAGGATTAGTACCCACACCTCGCTCGGTCAATCAATCACATAAAAACGCAAGCGCAAATGCAAATGAAAGGAATAATTGCTCGTGGGAACCAACCCAACGCAAATGTAGATGCAAACGCAAGCGTCAACGCAAGTAATAAACAAATTTTCATTTTCTTGAGCTCGCATTTGCGTTCCCTACTCACACGTGTGAATCGGTAAAAGCTCAATCATTGTCGGCCATCTTCTAAAAATGCTTCCACTGCGCTTGCGTATCTCTCTTTCCTCGTGTTTGCTTTGGACGTGTCGACTCGCTTGCATTTCCATTTGCGTTTGCGTTTGCATTTGCATCGCACGTATAAACCAGTCTTCAGATCCTTCGATAGAGTGACGTACTTGTAATTACAAGCTGAATGCGTTTCAATCTGACAATTGGCAATGTTTCTTTTATGTTGAGCCGTTCTGTTTTCATTTCACGACGTTCTACCTTCTCCATAGAGAATTATAATTAAAAATAAAAGGTCTGCGTTTTGGACTCTTTTGCAAATAAAAAAATGGCCCCTAGCGAGGGTTTACGTGTTCATAAACAGAACACGCCTGCTATGAGTGCTATCACTGGTCGATATATAGAGGATATTACACGGTGAAGAGAAGACATGAATTGTTTGTTCGAGTGGCAAGAACAGTATCAAACGAGTGAGCGCAGCAAACGAGTGAGGTATTAATCAAATGAACATAGGGGGTAACTTTCTAAAGAAACTGTGGTGCTGCGTCGGTGGGAGAGTATAACAGGGTAATTAAGTGTTATTAACTGAGTTGAAAACGTAAATTGGCCACCGTAAAGAGTTTAAGGGCTGACGTTTCGAGCGCTAGTCCTTTTTTCAGAGCGATTGAAGGAATTGTGGGTTTTGTGTGGGTTCATATGCAGAAAATGGAGCCACGCTATTGGTGAGAAAACAAGAATAAATTAATTGAATGAAAAGTGCTAGCGCTTGTTGATTCCATGAGGATTAAGAATGCCGATTTGGAAGATAAATTTTTGTTCTAGAGTTTTGCCTAGATTTAGGGAAAGACCGCAAACTGCCATGTGCTGTTTAGAATGATTAGGGAGATTGAAATGTATTGCGACTGGTTTGGATGCGTCCTTGTTATTTCTTTCTACGTCGCGAAGGTGTTCTCGGAATCGGTCACCTAATGTATAACTTTTTGTCATGAGTGCAAGTTATGCAGTAGATGACATTGGCTGAGGTGCACATAAGAGATCAAATGGATCTCTTGGGTCCCGAAATTTTCCCTACGTTATGAATGAAAGGACAAGTTTTGCATCGTGGGCGAGCGCATTTGAAAGTTCCAGGTTGGTCATTGGTTTGAAATGAACTACTGACCGAAAAGTTGCCAATGTTTTTGTCACGTTTAAATGAAATTAGTGGAGGTTGTGACAAGATATTAACAGTCTCTGAATCGTTTTGGAGTAGTTTAAAGTTTATAAGATCACTCATCACTGATCATTACAAACCTTTGAAGGCTGTTCAGCACGGACAGATGAAAAATTGACCTGTGTTTAGTCGCAAATTTCGACAAATTCCTTGAAAATCTTGGTTTTCTCGTTCTTTGTTGTTCGAGAAATGCTTATTCACATCTTCATCACTTACCACAACAAATCTTGCTGCCAATTAACATTCGAAACAACAGACAAACCAGTATTTTAAGTCACATACGGAAAGGGCGGTTTTCAAATAGAAAAGAAGTAGCATGTTGAGCAAGAATGTAATGCAGACTAAACTTATCATTATTAGAACTCCAATTTAGTTTTTCCGAATGATTGACAGATAATAGATGAAAGGAGAACGAAATTTTTAGTGCAGCTAAACAAGAATTACAGATAAAAGCATCCGCCTACACTCCGCGATTGTTAGTGTGATTAAAGTCCTGCATCGTCGTAAATTCACCCACAAAACAAATGGATGTAAAGAATCAACATAAGCACATCAAACGAGTGGAAATAAATAGTTTTTAAAATCCTTGAATGGAGGTTTGAAAGCCTTTGGTTTTTCCAGGAGAAATTATATCGTTGAAGCAGAAGTAAGGGAAGTAATTAGAGCGTGTTAATTTGAGAGCGGCTGAACCGAAATTTTGGATAGAAACATACACCTGTATTGCCTTAATTTGAACTAATTTCAAGATGCAATTTTCTCTCGGAGATGAGCTATTTCCTAGATCACGAAGTTGACTTTTTTAAAAGCTGTCGGTCAGTAACTGAGAATATATGACATTAGAGGGAAAAAATGATCCAGGCGACAAAACTTTACTAAATAAAATTACACGATCACATTTAAGAAGACATCCGTGCAAAAATCAAACAAAAATGAAATATTTATGGCAAGGGTCAAAAATTCAAATTGTCTCAATTTTTGCTCGAGAAAAACGAACTTTTCACTTTCACCCTCAAGAATCGATGAATCGGGTCATAACAGGTCGAAAACTAAACACTTTCGCTCGCTTCGCATTTCAAAGATATTACATCAAGGGAAATCTATCCAACGTTTGCTCTTTCATAGACTCTTTGTCATCTGTAAAATGTAAGTTGTGTAGGAATTAGTTGCTTAGAAGCTTTTAGCAATGCGGAAAAGCAATGTGCTCTCTTCCGTTACAAATAAAAGTCGGTGAAGAAAACTTCTTTTTCTCACCATGTGCCATTATGCAGAATTCCACCAAATTACGTATGTAAATTGCCGAAGGAATGATCTTCAACATGACCTAAAGTTTTCTTTGGGAAAATGTTTTCTTGCGACGCAGGAAACTCTCTATAAAATCACGCAATATGTTGATTGCGTGACCAAAGAGTTAAGGAGCATTCCTGCCTTTAAAACTTACTCAAAATCGTACAGGAGAGCCTTTTCAGAAACAAATAACAAATTGATACCCAGTTTTGTTAAATTACTTTGTCTTTTATCATTTGAAGTTTGTTTCTGCAGAGATATTCTGCCATCGTTCTGTCTAGTACGATTATGCACCTATGCCAGCAGCGGTATACGATTAAAAACTTTGCTGGTCTCTCGCATACGAATCTTAAGTTTCTGTCCCTTGTTTGACTTGCTAACCCGTGCCTTTTAACTAGCCTACGGTAAACGAAAATCCACAAAATGTTACCTTACAGAGGCCCTTGCAGGAGTCCAGTGAGGGCTTGCATGACGTAATTTGCATAATTGCGGTAGGAGTCGTCGTGCTCGTGGGACAGAATAATTTGGACCTACGAGTGGGGTCGGTCGACGTCATTTAAATAGGCACAAATACGAGGAAAAGAAATAATGAGTCTAGATATACATTTAACTCTGAGTTTTCCTCAATTTGTACTCGTGTTTTTTTTTTCTGCGGCAGTAAAACTATAATGTTTGTTGACTTTTTTAATTAAAAGCGAGACAATTAATTAAACTAACAAAACTTAATAAACATTGCTCCATTCGATTTTTTTCACGTGAAACTAAGAAAAAGAATTATTTCCCGCCCCCTTGAATCGGAAGTCTCGCTTGTGAATGAAATGGAAGCTTCTTACCCATTAAAACCTCTCCTTTTTTTAATTTGGTTCTATCTCTCTTAGGGTGTTGGTTCATTTTAGACTGTGCGTTTTTATCTTATGACAAACTAATTTTGAGTTTGAATCGCGACATAATTAAATTTACTTGTCTTGACCGTTCATATTTTTTCCTTTGCAGATTTAATATAACGTAAACCATGTCAAATCGTGATGAAAAGCCACGTTTGTTTCATTAGAAAAATTAGTTCTCTTCTCGAGATGACCAACCAACATGAACTGAATCATTTATAGTAAGTGCACGTTCCGTTGACGGGTAATTTTCCGTCGATGTTGTGTTTGCCTTGGTGGTGTCTGCTCTCAAATCCCATGGATGTTTCATCAAAAAATGAATAACGAATTTAGGATTAAAACACTCGTCATGAACAGGAACAATAGGTAAGCTATATTACACCTGTACGTCGTTAATTCAAAGAAAGTTCCGTATCGAAGTGAACCCAAATCGCCGGAAAAACAACTTTGTCTGGATAATTAATACCTGAATATTTAATAAATGGATAGGAATGGTTTCGAGAAACCTCGAATGAAGTGTTAAAAGCTTTTGGTGTTTACAGGAGAAGTTATATCACAGAAGAAGGCAATTTAAGTGGCTTAGAAAACGTTTCAAAACTGAAATACGAGGCATTTTTTAGTGTTAGTAATTATGAATGGTCCACAATATTCTCTCTTTTCCTTTAAAAAACTTCTCTGGTCGATTTTACATTTCTTATTATATTATTATTATTATATTATTATATTCAGTTCAAGAAATCGCCTATCTTAACTCAGGTTATTAATTACAGCTGTGGATGTTATTTCCAATTAAGCATTGGCAAGATAAATGGGTAGAAGTTTTACGAAAAGAAATCTTTAAAGCGGTGATAAAGACAGTGCATCTTATAATATGGAGTTACATAAAAATTGCGTTGTTGAAAGTTGGAAATAATTTCTTAATTAAAGACTTTATTTTCTTACAGGGTAGGTTATAAGTAAAACAAATATACTGGACAAGACTTCAAAAGTGTAATCATAAATTAGACAGTCTTATTGTTTTAAAACTAATACAGTTGCAATCTCATATTTTAAATTAAAAATACTTTCATGAGAAAGAAATTTATTGACAGCCTTGCATTTCACTGTCCCACAGGCGGAATCGTAATTAGAGCATGTTAAGTTGAGTGCAGCTGAACCGAAATTTTGGATGGAAGCGTACACTTGCTGTATTGAGTTAATTTGGACCAAGCCCTCTACTTTATCGTCCTTAAACTGCAAAATACTATCGGAGATGAGCTATTTCCTAGATCCTAAATTTGAATTTTTATTTGAAGCTGTCGGTTAGTACCAGAGGATATTTAATTTTAAAGAGGAAAAGTGACCCAGGCGACAAAACTTTTGGAAATAGAATAACACGGTGACATTTATTTCTTTAGATTTATAGGTGCATTTTTACTTAATTTAAGAGTAACTCCAAAGGGAAAAGAAAGTATTCTCTCCTCATAATGATTCCGATTTTTTTATACTGGTTAGTTGAAGAATCCTCAATGATTTTTTTTTTCGTTCCACTCAAAGCATCGCGCTTCATTTTTTATCATTTAGATGTTTGTACCGTTTCTATCCTTAGTCTACTCTCATATCACCAAAAAAAGAAATGGAAATGCATGTTGCTCGGCTAAAAAGTTAAAGCTATTTGAAAGAAAAATTTTATATGTAGTTTTCCTACCATCAATCTACGCTCTCCTAAGGTTGCGAAGAGGCAGGTTTGCTGGGGCGATACGAGAAAGGTCTGGGACCTTGCAAACTAGCTGTGATAAACCCTCTCTGAATCCTGGCATCCGAAGAGCGTAAATTATAGGATTTACAAGTGAGTTGGCTAGAAATAGAACTACCACAGCCATATTAATATGAACATGATGCATCTTAAAACAAGCGGAGGAAAGGTGAATACATGTTACAAACATGATTGTCCCTGGTAGAAGACAAAGTAACGATGCAAGTGAGACGATAAGCGCAGTACCCGTCAGTTTGCTTTCCCTTCTGGACCTAGAATGGATTTGAGGATGACGACTACATCTTACTTTGATAACAATGAGGATGTAAGATACACAGATAAAAAATAGAGAAACTGCATAAAATAGGATATACAAGTATGTATTAAGTTCAGCTCGATCAGCAATTTCCCATAAAAAAATTTGAGCGGCTTCTCTAACGATAGGTATTAACCAAATGACAATAATTATGGCTCTATAAACCCATTTGCTCACAAAGCGATGCCTGAATGAACAAAATGTTGCGTGTAACCTCTCTAAGGAAATAGCAATAAGATTTGTAAGGGAAGTAAAATAGAATAAATGTAGAAATACAAAAGATAAACGATTGGACCAAATAGTCTTTCGTCTGTAATTCCATAGAGAACAATACCACTCCATCTTTATTTCAATCTGCAGCGGCCCACAGACTGCGCCCACTAAGAGATCGACAATCGTCAGATGGATGATCAAATATGTACTCTGCCGCTGTAGCTGACGCTTCTTCTTCACAAAAACAAGAATGGTGATGATATTAAGGATGACAATGGCCAGACATTCGATGATGAGGACCACAAGCCATGGAATGCATTGCAAAGTTAGGGAGAAAGGCTGCATTTTCTCCGAGCTCTGTTAGCTGCCATAAAAATAACAGAAAACAATTCAATTAAAGATAACATTAAATATGACTTCAATATTCTCAATAAATATATATGTCAAATATTGCTTTTTACGCTTCTTTAACGTGTTTTGAAAAACTTAGTTTCGTCCATTGAGGAGGCAAATCCACCCACAAAACAGCTGAATAGAGAATCAACATTAGCACATCAAACGAGTGGAAATAAATAGTTTCAAAATCCTTGAATGATGGTTTGAAAGCTTTTGGTTTTTACGGGAAAAATTATATCATTGAAGCAGAAGAAAGGGAGGTAATTAAGCATCATCATTTAAAGGCATCAAAAGAAACAATCTAACATTTTAAAAATGCTATTGTACGATAATAAAGATGGCAAGAGGGGATCAAGTCCTCTCTTCAACATGATAAATGTTGTACTCGGTAATGAAACAGGAAGATCTTTTCACCGTCTCGTCAAGAACGTGTAACGAAAGAACAAGCTTTTCGCAAGGTCTGAAAATCCTCAACCGTTTCATAAGCATTAAAAGAAGGAAACAAAACCAAAATTCGAAAATTTTCCACGGTCTTACAGAAGATTTTCCATAACTCCTCTCCACCCATTTTAACTCGCTTTACCTCCTCTTCCGAAAACTAAAGTTTGTGAACGAATTAAATTTTACTAACATACCTCACTGATAACGAAGTACTTCGTATCCTCTAAAAAGTAGGTTAGAGCCAAATTTGACCAAAGGCGCTTTTCATAATGAATAAGAAAACAACAAGCTAAGGAATAGAGATAGAAAATAAACACACCACTATCAAGAGTCGAATTAGTTTTCAAAATGTCTGACATATGATAACTAACCCTAGGATGACGGAAGACGTTTTGAGTGCAGCTGAACAGGAACGACAGGTAAGCTGTAACTGGCAGAGAAAACACAATGAATAAGAAAACAAAAAGCTAAGGAATAGAGATAGAAAACAAACACACCACTATCAAGAGTCGAAATTAGCTTTCAAAATGTCTGACATATGATATCTAACCCTAGGATGACGGAAGACGTTTTGACGTTTTTCATTTCTTTTGTTGACACTGAACTAATAATTTTCTTTTATTAAAAATAAACTTATTTAGAAAATATGCTTTGGATTATATTTCTGATGAAGTATTCGCAAGATAACTGCGTAGACGTTTTATGAACAGAAATCTTTAAAGCGATGGTAAACACTGTGCATGATAAGATTTTATTGGAAACCAAAAAATAAAGTGGAAATGCATGTTGCTCGGCTAATAAGTTAAAGTTATTTAAAAAACAAACTTCATCAATTGTTTTCCTACCATCAATCTACGCTCTCCTAAGGTTACGAAGAGGCAGGTTTGCTGGGGTGATATGAGAAAGGTCTGGGACCCTGCAAACTAGTTGTAATAAACCTTCTCTGAATCCTGGCGTCCGAAGAGAGTAAATTATAGGATTTACAAGTGAGTTAGCTGAGAAAAGAACTACCACACCTATGTCCTTCACCTTATCATCGTCAAACTGCAGAATGCTCTGGCAGATGAGCTATTTCAAACTTAAGTAATGCTCAATGATGACCTTCCCAGACCCTCACAATACATTAATCGAGACACTGTGATTACAAATCTCTTTTGATAAAAACTGATCGATCTTCTCGGATTTGGGTGAGGGGAATATATTGACTTAGAAGTCAATAACACTGAGAGTAATTTCGAGAAGTCACTATACCTTTTTCAATTGAAATAGAGTTTAAAATTTAAGGCGGTTGAGGCCGGGATAAAGTTTATTACTTAACTATTTAATTCGCAGAAGTGATCAACATGAAATAATATCCTTACATTATCTAGCAAAAAGGTAATGAAAATATTCAAGCTTATCAGGTAGAAGTTGTTCATTTGATCTTAAACAAAATTCTCATAACTAAATTTACAAGGAAATGGGCAACAGGTAGAGGGGAGAATTAACAATCAGATCTTGGGAGTTAAAGGGTTAAAGAGCAGAGTGCAAGTGTTAGGATACATGAGTTTCTTTTTTTCTCTTATCTGTCTATTTTTTGTTTTGTTTTGTTTTTTTGCTTTTTCTTTTTCGTTTCTATTAAGTCTCCATAAATGGGTGGATCGCTGATAAAGTGAATATTTCAACCCGAATCAAAAAACACAGCTTTGGAAAAATTACGGTTTACCAGTATACCCTCTGGAATTTTCAGGACCTGAATTTTTCAAAACCATTGCAAAACGTTCTTAGTTTGGGTGCAGTTTAGAGAGAATATCCGGTAACCCGAAAGGGCCACAAGTTTTTTCGGTAGACGCAATTTTTTAACTGATACATAAGAACTTTTTTTCTCCCCGAAAGGCGGGATTGCAGGGGGTTATGTGTCAACTCCAGAAGTCATTAATTATGGTGGCTCTTGCGGCAAGGTGTTAGTTGATTCGGATTGGGCTAGTCAGCTTAGATCAGAATTGCAATTTTTATCACAACCAGTTACCAGGATTGTCAGTGACGATAGCAACAGAATTCAGTTTCCCCGGCCTGAATGAAATAACAGGGTATTGATTTATGTAACCAGAACCTTTGTGTCACGGCTATTGCAAAAAGAAGCTCGGCTCTTTTCCTCATTTCAGTTCTCGGTCCCTAATTACACTTTGAAAGAACGCAAAAACTGATGGCACAAAATCCTTTTTTTGGCAAAACAAATACTCGCTGCTTGAGCACATCAAATTCAAACATCCCTCGTACTTTCCAACCATTTATCCGAAATGTTGTTAATTTCCAAAGTGGTACATGGACTTGGGCTATTACACGATTTAAAGTACTTCTAAGGTATTGGGCCGGCTCTGAAAACTAGAATTAATTTCTTTAGAGTGTAATAGGATTAGTACACGCACCTCCCTCGGTCAATCAATCACACAAGGAGAACCTCAGCAAACGTAAACGCAAATGCAAATGCAAGGGATTATACGTGTGAAACACCCCAACGCAAATGCAAATCCAAATGCAAACGCAACCGTCAACGCAAGTGACAAGAACATTTTAATTTTCTTAAACTTGCATTTGTGTTCGCTTCCCACACGTGTGAATCGGCAAAAACTCAATCATTGTCGGTCGTCTTGGAAAAATACCTCTACTGCGCTTGCGTATCTATCTTTCCCTTCGTTTGCGTTGGACGTGTGAACTCGCTCGCATTACCATTTGCGTTTACGTTTGCATTTGCATCGCACATGTGAACCAGTCTTCAGATCCTTCGATGGAATGACATACCTATAATAACAGAGCTGAATAAGTTTTCAATCTGGCAATGTTTCTTTTATGTTGAGCCGTCCTGTTTCCATTTCACGACGTTCTACCATTCTCATAAAAAAAATGATAAACAAAATAAAAGGTCGGCGTTTTGGACTCTTTTGCTTTCGCCGGCCAATAAATGGAAGATATTATACGGTGGCGACAAGGTATGAATTCTATGTTCGAGTGGCAAGAACAATATCTAAAGAGTGAGCGCAGTAAACGAGTGAGCTATTAATCATGCCACAAGAACATCAAATTCATACCTTTGAGCTACCAAGTAATTTTCTTTTTAATTATATGGACAATAAATATAAGTGGTTGAGATTGTAAACCTGACTTTGATTAATTCTTAATTCTGAGTATTAATAGAAACAAAATTCCCGGTGCCCAAATTTTAAAAGTTTTACAAATAACACCGCCAGTTACGCCAAAATATATGTGAACTGGTTTTATAGGCTTAATTAAAATTCGATTACTGACACTGACTAAAATCATCAGATACTTTTATTTTCAGCTTCTCTTCACTACAAACCTTTGAAGGCTGTTCAGCCCGGACAGATGAAAAATTGTCCTGTGTTTAGTCGCAACTTTCGAGAAAATCCTTGAAAATCTTAATTTTTTCGTACTCTTCTTTTTCGGGAAATGCATTTACATCCTCCTCGCTTACACAACGAATCTTGCTAACAATTAATATTCAAAACAACAAACAAAACAAGTTCATTCAGCAAATTTTAAACAGGCTCGAATTATGTAGTCGTTTGCTTTGCGTAAAGTGCTTTTCAATTAAGCAGCAAAAGCCTTTTTTAGTGTTCACACAGCCTCATTAACATATGAGGGTCGGGGAGGGGGTGGGAAGGGAGTGGGAGAGTCCCTCTAAATTATTCATCTCAGTTTTGTTAAAAGTCCCATTTATTTTGGTTCAAGTCAAGCTATCATACAAATGATCACAACGTCGAGTAAGTTGAGTATACTGTTTTTATTCAAAGGCAAAATTATACTGTATCAATTATCTGTTCGTAAATCACCTGCGTAGTTTTTCTTACTTACTCAAGATTTTAATGGAAACCAGAAAATAAGATGGTAATGCATGTTGCTCGGCCAAGAAGTTAAAGTTATTTAGAAACAAACTTAATCAATAGTTTTCCTACCATTTATCTACGCTCTCCTAAGGTTACAAAGTGGCAGATTTGCTGTGGCGTTACGAGAAAGGTCTGGGACCCTGTAAAAGAGCTGTAATAAACCTTCTCTGAATCCTGGCATCCAAAGAGCGTAAATTATAGGATTTACAAGTGAGTTAGCTAAGAATAGAACTAGCACAGCCATATTAATATGAACATTCATGAAATAAGTGAAGGAAAAGCCAAGATATGCTAAATATATCATCGCTGGTGGAAAACAAAGTAACGACACAAGTGAGACGATAAGCGCAGTACCCGTCAGTTTTTTTTCTCTTCTGGATCAAGAATAGAATTGAGGATGACGACTACATCGTACTTTGATAATAATGAGGATGTAAGATACACAGATAACAAATAGAGAAAATGCATAAAATGGGAGATACAAGTAAGCATTAATTACCTCGAAATAACCAATTTCCCATAAGAAAATTTGGGCGACTTCTCTAACAATAGCTATTAACCAAATGACAATAATTATGGCTCTATAAACCAATTTGCTCACAAAGCGATGTCTGAATGGACAAAATGTTGCGTGTAGCCGTTCTAAAGAAATAGCGATTAGATTTGTGAGGGAAGTGAACGAGAATAAATGTACAAATGCAAAAGATATATGACGAGACCAAGTAGTCTCTCGTCTGTACTTCCATTGAGGACAGTCCTTCGACATTCTGTTTTCAATCTGTAGCGGCCCAGAGACTACGCCCACCAAAAGATCGACTATCGCCAGATGGATGATCAAATATGTACTCCGCCGCTGTAGCTGACGCTTTTTCTTCACAAAGACAACAGTGGTGATGATATTAAGGATGACTATGGCCAGACATTTGATGATGAGGACCACAAGCCATGGAATACACTGCGAAGCTGAGTAGAAAGGCTGCATTTTCTCTGAGCTCTGTTAGCTGCTATAAAAATAACAGAAAACAGTGAAATTTAAGATAAAACGAAATATGATTTCAATATTCTCAATAAAGATATATGTCAAATATTGCTTTTCACTTTTTTTTATGTGCTTCGACTAAGTTTTGTCTGTTAACTAAAACTGATCCTCGTGTTTTTTTATGCGGATATGAATACACATCATAGCCTATTCCTTTTTTTTTTCTTTCAATGAAGACGAATTTAATAATAATTATAGAACTTTTTCGATGTTCACCGAATAAGCGGAAAGCTTTGCCACTAGTGATCTCAATTGCTTGAAGGAAATTTATTGCCTCCAAAAGCAGATGACAACAAAAAATCCAGAGATCTTCCGGAAATATATCAGAAAGATTTAGTAGAAAGACCTACTCCTCTTCTCGATGCCGCCATTAGAAATACTGTGGTTGTTGTTGTTACTGCCTTCAAAAATTTCAAAGACAAATTAACTGTAAGTACGGTGAAATATAACTTACATTTTTAAAAGGAAAAAAGTCTCTTATGTTTTATTTCCTACACCCAGAAGTTTAGTCATAGTCTTTTCTCGCTTCGGATAAATTTCTTCCTCGGTCAATATCATAAGCAACAAACTGGAGAAAGCGGTCTTTTTCGTCGCCTTACGATTACTAACATTATCAATAACATATTTCCGTCCATATTGATTCAGTTTTCCTCATCTCGTCGAAGGTAGAATTTGCAATCTAACCTTAAGAATATTTTGAACTCACCTCACTGATAACGAAAGTGTTTCTAACATTTAACGAATTAAGTTTAAGTCAAATGCAGAAAGGGCGGTTTTCACAAAGAAAAGAAAGCAGCATGCTGAGGAAGAGTGCAATTGCAGACTATACTTATCACCATTAGAACTCCAATTTAGTTTTTCCGAATGATTGACAGATAATAGCTGAAAGGAGAGCGGCATTTTTAGTGCAGCTAAACAACCATTACAGATAAAAGCATCCGCCTAAACTCCGCGATTGTTAGTGTGATTAAAGTCCTGTATCGTGATAAATCCACCTACAAACAACTGAATAAAGAGAATCAACATAAGTACATCAAACGAGTGGAAATAAATAGTTTCTAAAATCCTTAAATGGAGGTTTTAAAGCCTTCTTCGGGAGAATTTATATCGTTGAAGCAGAAGTAAGGGAAGTAATTAGAGCGTGTTAATTCGAGAGCGGCTGAACCGAAATTTTGGATAGAAGCATACACCTGTATTGCCTTAATTTGAACTAATTTCAAAATGCAAATCTCTCTCGGAGATGAGCTATTTCCTAGATCACGAAGTTGACTTTTTTAAAAGCTGTCGGTCAGTAACTGTAACATTAGAGGGAAAAAATGATCCAGTCGACAAAACTTTACAAAATAAAATTACACGGTCACATTTAAGAAGACATCCGTGCAAAAAATCAATCAAAAATGAAATATTTATGGCAAGGGTCAAAAATTCAAATTGTCTCAATTTTTGCACACAAGTAGACCTTAGTAAGACAAGAAATTTTGTGCATCTTTTTTCCTCAAACATGTTTAATTTTCGAGAAAAACGAACTTTTCGCTTTCACCCTCCAGAATCGATGGATCGGGTCATAACAGGTCGAAAACTAAACACTTTCGCTCGCTTCGCATTTCAAAGATATTACATCAGGGGAAATCTATCCAACGTTTGCTCTTTCCTAGACTCTTCGTCATTTGTAAAAAGTAAGTTGTGTAGGAATTAGTTGCGTAGAAGCTTTTAGCAATACGGAAAAGCAATGTGCTCTCTTCCGTTACAAAAAAATGTCGGTGAACAAAACCTCTTTTTCTCACCATGTGCCATTATGCAGAATTCCACCAAATTACGTATGTAAATTTCCGAAGGAATGATCTTCAAAATGACGTAAAGTTTTTTTTGGGCAAATGTTTTCTTGCGACGCAGGAAACTCTTCAAAATAGGACACGGAAGACATAAAATCACGCCATATGTTGATTGCGTGACCAAAGAGTTAAGGAGCATTCCTGCCTTTAAAACTTACTCAAAATCGTACAGGAGAACCTTTTCAGAAACAAATAACAAATTGATACCCTTTTTTGTTAAATTACTTTGTCTTTTATCATTTGAAGTTTGTTTCTGCAGAGATATTCTGCCATCGTTCTGTCTAGTACGATTATGCACCAATGCCAGCAGCAGTATACGATTAAAAACTTTGCTGGTCTCTCGCATACGAATCTTAAGTTTCTGTCCCTTGTTTGACTTGCTAACCCGTGCCTTTTAACTAGCCTACGGTAAACGAAAATCCACAAAATGTTACCTTACAGAGGCCCTTGCAGGAGTCCAGTGAGGGCTTGCATGACGTAATTTGCATAATTGCGGTAGGAGTCGTCGTGCTCGTGTGACAGAATAATTTGGACCCACGAGTGGGGTCGGTCGACGTCTTTAAATAGGCACAAATACGAGGAAAAGAAATAATGAGTCTAAGTATCCATTGAGCTCTGAGTTTTCCTCAATTTGCACTAGTGTTATTTTTTTTTCTGCGTGAGTAAAACTATGATGTTTGTTGACTTTTCTATTTAAAAGCGAGACAATTAATTAAACTAACAAAACTTAATAAATATTGGTCCATTCGATTTTTTTCACGTGAAACTAAAAATTATTTCCCGCCCCCTTAAATCGGAAGTCTCGCTTGTGAATGAAATGGAAGCTTCTTGCTCATTAGAACCTCTCCTTTTTTTAATTTGGTTCTATCTCTCTTAGGGTGTTGGTTCATTTTAGACTATGCGTTTTTATCTTATGACAAACTAATTTTGAGTATGAATCGCGACATAATTAGATTTACTTGTCTTGATCGTTCATATTTTTTCCTTTGCAGATTTAATATAGCGTAAAACATGTAAAATCGTGATGAAAAAGCCATGTTTGTTTCATTAGAAAAATTAGTTCTCTTCTTGAGATGACCAACTAACATGAACTGAATCATTTATAGTAAGTGCACGTTCCGTTGACTGATAATTTTCCGTCGATGTTGTGTTTGCCTTGGTGGTGTCTGTTCTCAAATCCCGTGGATGTTTCATTAAAAAAGCTTTTGGTGTTTACAGGAGAGGTTATATCACAGAACAAGGCAATTTAAGTGGCTGAGAAAACATTTCAAAACTGAAATACGAGGCATTTTTTAGTGTTCGTACTTATGAATGGTCCAAAAAATTATCTCTGTTCTTTTAAAAAAATTCTCTGATCGATTTTACCTCCTTATATCTGCACTGAACTAGTCATTTTCTTTTATTGAAAATAAACTTCTTCTGTAAACTTGGTTCCTTATTATATTCAGTTCAAGAAATCGCCTAACTTAACTCAGGTTATTAACTACAGCTGTGGATGTTATTTCCAATTAAGTATTCGCAAGATAAATGGGTAGAAGTTTTACGAACAGAAATCGTTAAAGCGGTGATAAAGACCGTGCATCCTATAATATGGAGTTACATAAAAATTGCGTTGCTGAAAATTTCTTAATTAATGACTTAAATTTCTTACAAGGTAGGTCATAAGTAACGCAAACGTACTGGACAAGACTTCAAAAGTATAATCATAAATTAGACAGTCTTACTGTTTTAAAACTAATACAGTTGTAATCTCACATCTTAAATTAAAAATACTTTCATGAGTAAGACATTTATTGACAGACTTGCGTTTCACTGTCCCACAGGCGGGATCGTAATTAGAGCATGTTAAGTTGAGTGCAGCTGAACCGAAATTTTGGATGGAAGCATACACTTGCTGTATTGAGTTAATTTGGACGAAGTCCTCTACTTTATCGTAATTAAACTGCAAAATACTATCGGAGATGAGCCATTCCCTAGATCCTAAAGTTGAATTTTTAAAAGCTGTCGGTTAATACCTGAGAATATGTAATATTAAAGAGGAAAAGTGACGCAGCCGACAAAACTTTTGAAAATAGAATAACACGGTGACATTTATTTCTTTAGATCTATCGGTGCATCTTTACTTAATTTAAGAGTAACTCCAATGGGAAAATTAAGTATTCTCTCTTCATAGTGATTTCAATTTTTTATATTTGAAGACTCCTCGATGATTTTTTCGTTCCACTCAAAGAAAAACCTAACTGACCGGAAGCTCACTAATCGTTGCACTTATATCTTTGTTTAGTTTTCTAGGTGCATCGCTTTTCATTTTAATCATTTAGATGTTTGTATCGTTTCTATCCTTAGTCTACTCTCATATCACCAAAAAATGAAATGGAAATGCATGTTGCTCGGCTAAGAAGTTAAAGTTATTTAAAAGAAAAATTTCATATATAGTTTTCCTACCATCCATCTACGCTCTCCAAAGGTTGCGAAGTGGCAGGTTTGCTAGGGCGATACGAGGAAGGTCTGGGACCCTGTAAACTAGCTGTAATAAACCTTCTCTGAATCCTGGCATCCGAAGAGCGTAAATTATAGGATTTACAAGTGAGTTAGCTAAGAATAGAACTACCACAGCCATCTTAATATGAAAATACATCATAAAACAAGAAGAGGAAAGGTGAATACATGCTACATACATTGTCCCTGGTAGAAGACAAAGTAAAGATACAACTGAGACGATAAGCGCAGTACCCGTCAGTTTTCTTTCTCTTTTGGACCTAGAATGGAATTGGGGATGACGACTACATCGCACTTTGATAACAATGAGGATGTAAGATACACAGATAACGAATAGAGAAACTGCATAAAATGGGAGATACAAGTAAGCATTAATTACCTCGAAATAACCTATTTCCCATAAGAAAATTTGGGCGACTTCTCTAACAATAGCTATCAACCAAATGACAATAATCATGGCTCTATAAACCCATTTCCTTACAAAGCGATGCCTGAATGGACAAAATGTTGCGTGTAGCCGTTCTAAGGAAATGGCAATGAGATTTGTAAGGGAAGTGAAATAGAATAAATGTAGAAATAAAAAAGATAAACGATGAGACCAAAGAGTATTTCGTCTGTAATTCCATAGAGGACAGAGCCACTGCATTTTTATTTCAATCTGCAGCGGCCCAGAGACTGCGCCCACCAAGACATCGACTATCGCCAGATGGATGATCAAATATGTACTCCGCCGCTGAAGCTGCCGCTTCTTCTTCACAAAAACAGCAATGGTGATGATATTAAGAATGACAATGGCCAGACATTCGATGATGAGGACCACAAGCCATGGAATGCATTCTGAAGCTGAGGAGAAAGGCTCCATTTTCTCCGAGCTCTGTTAGCTGCCATAAAAATAACAGAAAACAGTTCAATTAGAGATAAAATGAAATAAAAATTCATTATTCTCAATAAAGAAATATGTCAAATATTGCTTTTTACGCTTCTTTAACGTGTTTTGAAAAACTTAGTTTCGTCCATTAACTTAAACTGATCCTCATGTTTCTTTATGCGAGATTCATATTCGGAAATTTAATCATTTAGCCTGTTCCTGCTTTTTATTTCGATAAAGGCGCATTTAATAATATAAATATAAGCCTCCAAAACAGACGGCGACAAAAATTTAAAGATCTTCTGGAAATACAGTAGAAAGACTGAGTAGAAAGACCTGCTCCTCTTCTCGGTGCCGCTTTTAGAAATACGGTTGTTGTTGTTATCGCCTTGAAAATTTCAAAGACAAATTAACTGTAGATGGGTTGAAATATTAATAACATTTTTAAAAGGAAAAGCATCTCTTATGTTTTATTTTCGACACCCATAAAGTTTAATCATTGTCTATTCTCACTTCCGATAAATTTCTTCCTTTGTCAATATCATAAGCAACAAACTAGAGAAAGCGGTCTTTTTCGTAGCGTTACGATCGTTAAGATTATCAATGACATATTTCCGTCCATATTGATTCAGTTTTCCTCATCACATCGAAGGCAGAATATCCGGAAGTTTGAAATACTTTGAGTAAGCAAAAGCCCTTATACAATAGATCTCAGTTGCCTTAATCGTTTTATAATCATAATTAGAAACAAACTAAAATGTTCCACATTGTAAAAGATTGTCGATGTGCGTAGATATGATAACAAAGATGGCAAGAGGGGAACAAGTCCTCTCTTTAACATGGCAAATGTTGTACTCGGTAATGAGACGAAGAAAGATCTTTTCATCGTCTCGTCACGAACGAGTAACAAAGGCTGAGAAGCAACGGGCTTTTCACAAGAGGTCACAAATTCATCAACTCTTTCATAAGCAATAAAAGTGGAAAAAATAGCTAAAATTCTAAAATTTTTCACAGGCTGACAAAGGATTTTCCATAACTTCTCTCCACCCATTTTACCTGGTTATACCTCATCTCACCGATGTCAGAGTTTGTAAACAATTGAAATCTTATGAACATACCTCACTGACAACGAAGCACTTCGGTTGGAATAAAGGCCATTTCTTGTTTTCTACTTGTTTTTAAATTTTGACCGGTCAGTAAATCCCGAAGTTTGATCGCGGTCGCTTCAGGATACTTGTATTTTAGGATCTGTCGCGTCTGTTCCCACCGCCAAGTTAAATTTAGGAACAAATCTGATTGGCTTTTAAAACCACAAAGTCGAAATTCTTTGTTAACGAATCAGCTTCTGATTGGTTAAATAACCTTGGGTGGCCCCGGTTGAAGTCGTTGCACTGTAAGACTCGAAATTAGTTTTCTAAATCTCCGACATATGATATCTAAATTTATAAAATAATTCAAATAGTACGCGCGCTCTGATTGGCCATAAAACCATTTTGCATGAGCGTATGTAAACACGGTTTTCGTTCCTCTTTCACTCGATAAGCTGGAAACCACTCCGCTTCGCTTGGTGGTTTCCTACGCTTATCTCGTGTTCTCCCAACCTCCCGCGTGTAAACACGGAAACCATTTTACATTTCTTCAGTCGGAAGACGTTTTGAGTGCAGGTGAACAGGAACAACAGATGAGCTATACTACACCTGTTCGTTGTTACTTCAAACAAGGTTCTGTATCTAAGTGAATCCAAACCGCCGACAAAACAGCCTCCTCTGGGGAATCAATACCTGAATACCAAATGAAGAAGAATAGTTTCTAGAAACCTTGAATGGAGTGTTGAAAGCTTTGAAAGCTTTTGGTGTTTACAGGCCCAGGAGAAGTTATATCAAAGAGGAAGCAATCATCTTCTTCAGTCGATTTTTCATTTCTTATGTCTGCACTGAACTGGTCATTTTCTTTCGTTAAAAATAAACTTCTCTTGAAAACTTGGTTCCTTATTATATTCAGTTCAAGGAATTGCCTATGTTAACTCAAGTTATTAATTACAGGTTTGGATTATTTTTCCAATGAAGTATTCGCAAGATAACAGCGTAGAAGTTTAATGAACAGAAATCTTTAAGGCGATGGTGAAGACCGTGCATCTTTTACATGTAGTTATATAAAGACTGCGTTGTTGAAAGTTGGTAAGAGTTTTTTAATTAAAGACTTTATTTTCTGTACCTCAAAAGAATAATCATAAAGTAGACAGTCTGATTTTTTGTTGTAATATCACATCTTAAATTAAAAACTATTTCCATGAAAAAAAAATTAATCAACAGCCTTGTGTTTCACTGTCTCACAGGCGGGATCATAAAGGAGGTAATAAAGGGGGAAATGATAGGTTAATTCAGTCATCATCGTCGACTATTTTCCGTTCCACTCAAAGCGAAAGAAAATCCTTCGGAAGCCCATTAATCGTTGCGCTTGTATCGTTGCTTAGTTTTCTATAAGCGACAAAATGCATTGCTTTTCATTTTAATCATTTAGATGTTTGTACCGTTTCTATCCTTAGTTAACTCTTATATGAGTCTTCTCGTCTACGCTCAGCCAGGATTCACAGGCAGGAGTGTATCGCGTAACCAATTTGCAGATCCCAGATCATATAAGAGGGCCTCAATGCGGTTAACCGTGAGCCGTAAGACGGCCAAAGCATTTAGCCTTTAGGCGTGAAAATTGACAAATTTTAACCGTTAGTCGTAAAAAGAGTTAGCCGTAAAAAAAATTTTTTCTGGTGAAAACAATGGAAAGGTGTTAACTGTTAGCCGTAAATTGGCCAAAAATTTTAACCGTTAGCCGTAAAAGCCATCACCCCATTGAAACCCTCGTATAAAAACTTAAAGTCAACATGCAATATTCAAAGCGACGGGTTTTAAGGTGTTTTCGCACCTACAGTATCTTTTATTTGAGACGACTTTGTCCCGGAGTTTTTGCGTTCATTTACATAGTTTACATAAACGAATCCAAACTCTTGAAGGCTGTATTTTAGACGTTTGGAAATATATACATAATCAAGCAATTCAAGTGAGAGTTAATATTATATTGCCGTACTTTCTCTCGAATCGGGGTGGGGAAGCTTGATAAAAGAGTTATTTAAACCAGAAATGCCGAAGTTTGGAGTACTCTCTCAATGCACGATCATTCACCCTGGGTTTCGATGAACTTGTGGACACTCGGGAAAAAGTCTTCCATTGCTTTTGTAAAGTATATTTCCCAGAAGATACACGCGTGTTTGGAACGTCACAACCGTAGTTAGACTGTAAACATAGACTCTCATCTAAACACTTCTATTGATCACGCACTTCAATTCTTGAAAACTGCAGGAGTCTTACATCTGTTTGCCAATCAATCCGAAACGTAGACATCATAAACCCAGTTTCCCATAAAACGAAACCTATGGACGGAATGTTTCTTGAAGCCTTTCTTGTGAAATATACAGTAAGATTTTTATTTCGGCAAGATAATTTGCTCTTTTTAAAAACATTGATCTTCCTTGCACTGAAGTAGCTGATCTAATACACTGAACTATAAGACTCGTATATTGGTGGCTTTGTTAGAAATTCCTCATTTAAACAAATCAGCCATTTTGAAACTTAAGACTCCCAATTTGTATTTGGTTGCGATGGCTAAATGTTCTGCCTCGTTTAATGATTTTCCCTCTTGTTTTCTACCAAACGCAATTAAACGCAACGATAAAGTGGTCGAAAAAATCTCTTGACATCAAGAGATGAAAAAAGGTCGCAAATTACAAACTTAAAAAATATCGTTTTACTGCGGTAGTTAGTTGTTCGTAATAAAACAATTTGATAAGAGGTCGTCTGCCCATGCAGGATAACTCGAATTGCATCGGCATGAAACCTGTTTTTAAAAAAATCGTAATATAAAAACCGCCGTCAATATTATACCGAAAGCAAACTTAAATATTTACCGGCTTGGAACCTTAATAGCGAGTCTATAATAATTTTACTAGTAGTTTCGCCATTCGTGTTTTTCTTTATTTTGTCCTCTCATGCTTTTGCGAAGCTAGACCCCGATGTTCTAGATCCCTAATGTAACTTTGAGAGGCCTACCCCAACGCAAATGCAAATGCAAACGCAAGCGTCAACGCAAGAAATAAAATAGAGAATAACACATGATAGTACATGGGTGCGCTTAGATATGGAATTTCTCTTCGAGTGTTTAACTCGACAGCTCACGAGTGAGGGAAGCGAACGAGTGAGATTTCGAGTTGAACAAGTGACGAGAAATTTCATATCTACAAGCAACCATGTATTATTATGTTTTTCATATAAACACAATAACCCTTTACTGACAAGAAAAGTCGACTCTATGAATGAATGAAAATAAAAAGATCGACAATCTCCGAATACAAATTGTAAAGTGCATTGGCGCACTCAAGATGAAAACATGCGTTGAATCACAACAAAAACAATGGGCCTAATTTTCAGTATACAAAATGAATTGGTCCTTACCGGCGGAAGAAATCATTCAGGTAAACGGCCATAATCGGCTATGGCAAATCTTCCAGTTGTCGATTTTCTTTCGCAGCCGCGAGAAATGCCATTACTGAAGCCACTAAATACGTAACTTTTGGTTTTTCATTTCGTATTTTGATATTTTTCCTTTCTAAGAAAGTTTCAACGTCACTGTCTGTAAGCGTCGATACTGATATTTCAGTTTTCCAGCAGCCATAATTGGAAAATATTCCGACAAACGACCTTGGATTGAGAATGGTGAAGGCTTTGCCG